TGGGCAGGACAGATTTGAGGTGAGGTCAGAAAATACCCTGCCCAAGACTCTGTGGGGAGATACAAAGGTAGGTTGATAGACAAGAGGCAAAGGTGGACAAAAGGGGTTAAATCCAAGGGGTTATTCTGCAACCCCCTGAGGCAAAGCTGACTGGGGACTACAGGGAGGCTCCTCAGCCCAGCCAGACCCTGCATACACAGATTTTACTGATTTCTTTTCAGTTCAAGCCCCTGGCTCAGGCTCAGGCAGTGCCCTGCCAGGTGCTGCAGGTGACTCCAGTGGTGTCATTCCTGTGACAATATTAATTTAATTCTACTACACCGTGTCCAGCCTCTCGCAGCACCAGCCCGCTGCAATGTTTCCCTGCTGGGGGAGTCCTGGGGCAGGGACTGGGGGCACTTTGGGGTGCTGGGGGGCTGTGTCAGAGTCCACGAGGTGGTGCAGGACTGAGCCCATGGCGCTGGGGGGCTCTGGGCTCTGCCTCTTCTTTGCCCAGACCCCAAGGGCCCCCCCAGAACAAACGTGGCTGACAGTTGGGTGATTTTGTGATGAACAGCCTTTACTCACCCGCTGCCTCGTATTCCTTGTTACAAAAGAACAACTTAACAAAAAGAATTAAAGACTGCCCTGTGGCTGCAGCTGGGGGAGCGGGGGGCGTTCAGCCCACAGAGCAGGGTGGGCTATGGCACTGTTGGCGTGGGGCACCGGGCCCGGGGGGGCTCAGGCGGGGCAGTCCCGCTGCGCTGGCTCGTCCCGGCCGCCCTGGGCCGCGCTCCCGGGGATGCTCAGCCCCAGCAGCGCGTCCTCGCCGGGCCCTGGCAGCGCGCACGGCTGCACCAGCTGGTCCCAGTACAGGCTGAGCGTGGAGTGCTCCTGCTGCTCCAGCTCCCGCAGCTCCTGCAGCTCCTTGGCGCTGGCTGCTGGCGTCTGCACCTCAAAGGTCATCTCAAAGCGGCTGTAGTCCACCTGGAAGGCGCCTTTCTCCAGGGACATGCAGGGCTCGAAGCGGTATCCCCAGAGGATCTCGTCCTCCGTGTAGGAGGTGCGGGCTTGGCACGTCATTCCTGCAGCAAGAACATGACTGTGCTGTGCCGGGTGCCACAATGAGCCCCCTGAGCCTGCAGGGTGAGGGGCTTCCAGCCCTGCATCACCCACGGCGAGGGGCTTCCAGCCCTGCGTCACCCACGGCCCACTGGAGACACACAGGACCCCGAGCCTCTCTTGCTCAGATGTCACTCCTGGGCCCGGGTTTGCCCGGCATCTCCAGGAGCCCAGGGGAGCCCCCCCTCTCCACCCCGACTCCTCGAGACCACTTGCCTGTGGCTTCCACGATGCCCTCGAGGATGATGATGATTTCAAACTGCTCCCGGCGCAGTGACTCGGCTGACATGTCCCAGAAAGGGCTGTGGCGGTTGATGACGTGGCAGATGATCTGGGGCTCCACCAGGAACAGACGGTCCTCGCCCGTGTCATAGCCCAGGTTCAGCTCCGACTGCTCCAGGGGGATGAACTCCCCCTCGGCCGTCTGGCGGGACTTGATCAGCTTTGCCCGGATCTTGGCATCCACCATGTGGCTTTCCCGCAGGTCCCCCACACGAAACATCAGGCAGAGCTTCTCGTCCCGGAGGGAGATGACGCAGTTCTTGCTGAAGATGAGGGTCTGGGCGCGCTTCTTGGGCCGGGAGATCTTGACGAACATGCAGCCGACCATCATGGCGTCGATCATGGAGCCCACGATGGACTGGGCGATCAGCAGGATGACGCCCTCGGCGCAGTTGGCCGTCACCATCCGCGTGCCGTAGCCGATGGTCCGCTGGCTCTCCACCGAGAGCAGCAGGGCGGAGACGAAGCCGTCCACGTTCTCGATGCATGCCTGCCACTCGGGATCGCCCTGGTGCCACACGTCGCCACGCACCCAGGCGTCCAGGAAGTAGATGAAGCCAAAGACCACCCAGGTGACGACGTAGCACATCATGAAGACAAAGAGGAACCAGCGGTACTTGAGGTCTACGATGGTGGTGAAGATGTCTGAGAGGAACCTCTTCTTGTCCTGGATGTTGCCCAGATTCACCTGGCACTTGCCCACTTTTGTCACGTAGCGCTGCCGCTGCCGCCGGCCGGCCTGGGCCATGGGGCTGTCCTCCTCCAGCAGCTTGCAGCGCCGGCCCTGCAGCCCCTCCGGGGTGGGAGCGGTGGAGCTGCGGGCGGAGGTCTTGCCGCGGGACGAGTTGGGGATGTTGGCCACGCTCAGGGCGTGCAGCGGGTAGAAGCGGGCAGCCGCCTCTTGCGGGGCGGGCGGCGGGCACCAGGAGGGGCGGCCGCGGTGCTGCTGGGTGCTCAGGCTCCCGCGGCTCGGCGGCAGGGACGGCTCACCGGGGACAAAGCCGCCGTGACGGGGTGCGGATGGGTAGTTTGGCATGGCGGCGCCTCTCTTGGCAGCGGCGGCGGCCGCTACCTGCCCGCCGTCCTCCACCGGAGCCCCGGGGGCGGCCGGCAGATCGGGCTGCGGGGGGGGAAAGGAGCCCGTCGGTGAGAAACCGCCTCGGACAGGAACCGCGAGCACCCGGCGGCACCGCGTGCCGAGGATGCCCCGGAGCCTGGGGCGAGCCATACCTTCTGCGGGAAGGTGCCGTAGCGGCTGGTGTCGGCGGGCGGCCGGGGCAGGTAGGCCAGCATGTGCTTGGCCGTGGGGGTCTGCGCCGGGGGGATGGAGTTGCTGCGGCCGCGGGGCTCCTCGGGGGGCGGCCAGCCGCCGGCGCCGCCGCTGTTGCGGGCGTAGGGCAGCACCATGGCCGCGCCGGGGCGACGGCTCAGCCCCGGGCTGGGCGCGAGGTCCTGCCGGGGGGAGACAAGCGGGAGTTACTTCGGACAGGAAAGCGGCTTGGGGCTCCGGCCCCGCTCCGCGTCCCCAGGGCCAGGGTCTGGGGGAGCGCCCCTTGCCCAGCAACGCTTGTCCCAGCTCCGGAGCGGTGCCGGGGTGCCTGCGGGCTGGCTCCAGATGGCTAAGCCCATTAAGGGCCATAATTGCATTGCAAGGCCGGGGAAGGAGGCACTCGTCTCCGGTAGGAAGCAGCCCCGGCAGCCGGCAAGCTCCGGGTGAGCGCCTACGGCACTATCCCACGGTTGTTCCAGGCCGTGGCGGTAGCTGTGGGTTCTCTGAGAAGCTCCGAGCAGAAATGGATGGCCCCTAGGTGCGGAGGAAGGACAGCCTGTGAGAGAGAGGCAGATCCCACCGCCGGGCTCCTCGGGACAGGCTGAGCCCAGCCGGTGCCCATGGGGAGACGCGATGGGAGCTCATGGCCCTGGAAACGCAACCCGGAGCGCAGCGACCTGCGGGGGTAGGGGTGGGGATGGGGTGGGAGTGTTGGCGCTCTGCCTCCCTCGAGCATCCCCTGCCACTGCAGAGCAGCGGCACCAGCGGTCCTCAGCACGGCGATGGAGATGTCAGTGTCCGGACCAACCTGCCGGCTCCCCGGACCCCAGGCGACACCCACCTCATGTCCAGGCAGAGCGGCTGCCGGCCCGGCAGGCGTCGTTCTCGGCTTGTGGCTCCCGCTGCGCCCCGGCCACTGCCGGGCATCTTCCCACCGGCTGTGGACGGGAATCCTCGGCCCGGCTGTGCCACCGCGGCCAGTGGGAGGGAAAGAAGGACCGGGAGCTCGGCGGCGGCCGCCAATCCTGCTCCAGCGGCAGAAGGTCACCCGTTAATCTGTCTCAATGACAGGCACAATTACCTTGAGACGATTTAATCGGAAGGAGCAGGTGCCCCAATGCCTGGGGGAAGGAGCAGGAGGGGTTTCCCAGCGGATTTCCCTGCTCTTGCCGTCGGGATGATGCTCCCTGTCTGCTCTTGGGAACGGGATGGTCAGCAAGGGCTGGAAAACATCCCCTCTCTCCTGCCTGGTCTGTGCTTCTATGCTGAACGTGCTCCGTGCTCCCTCGCCCCTCCTTGCAGGAGCCCCCTGCAAAGATCCTCCCGACACTCACCAGGGCTGGACCCCGGGACCAGCAGGACTCAGTAATTTCCAGTCTGGCTCCCGATACAGATAAGAAAGACGGCGGATGAAGGAGAGATTAGTCGCTAATCTCCCAGGGAAGATGAATCTGCAAGCTGGACCCCGCGGAGGCAGTGCACGTGGGGGAGGATGGGGGCCGAGTGCCAGCACAAACTTGGGATTTTCCTGATGCTTCTTTTCATCCTTTTCATAGAATCCCAGAATCCCAGAACGGTTTGGGTTGGAGAGGGTCTTACAGATCAGTCCAGCTCCAGCCCCCTGCCACAGGAACACCTTCCATCGGACCAAGCTGATGTACATGGGTTCTCCCCAGCTTTGTGCTTGCATCAGTGTCTCCTATCAGGACAACACGAGTCTCATCTGCTGGTGAAGTGCTGGGTGCAGGACAGGGGGATCAATGCCCACCTGTGAGAAGGGCCCATCTGAAACCTGCTTCCTCCCTTGAACATCCCTATTCTCAACGCAGCCCTCAAGGCTCCTTTGCATATTTAATTAACGACCTAATGAGGATCAGGGCCACCGACTCCTGAGAAAAGCCCGATGCTTTTCTACCTCTCTGCTGCCTTGCATCTTGTGCTACGGTGCCAGCCGTGTCCCACCGAGGCTGGAACTGCTGCTGCCGAGAATCGCTGTCCCTGCCAAGGCTCTCGGTCCGGGGTGGCCAAGGCTCGGAGGATTTGCGTGCTTTGGCTTAACCCTCTTGGGCACGGCGAGGCAGCGGCGGGACCCAGCCCGGAGTTACCGCGGGGATGCACCCGGCTTTTCCTGCTGAGCCGGGCTCTCCTTTTAGCATGGAAAAACCAACAACAGCTGAAAAACGACCGTGGCCACACCCCGGCGTTGGAGGAACAGGCTTGAATTCGCCCTCCCCGGGCGGCAGACGCGGCCGGCGGCCGGGCGGACGCAGCTCCACAAGCGTTAATGCCCGCGGCCGCCGCTCAGGGCGGCTAATCCGGGCCCGCAGGTTCGCGGGGCGGCGACGGCATGGCCGGGGGCTGGGGGGCGAAGGCGCAGGGCGGGGGGATGCTGCTGGCTCTCCTCGGATGGATCAGCTCCTGCGTCACCACCTTCGTGCCGCTCTGGAAGAACCTCAACCTGGACCTGAACGAGCTGGAGGTCTGGAACATGGGGCTCTGGCAGGTCTGCATCACCCAGGAGGAGGGGGTGGTTGAATGCCAAGCCCACGGCTCCTTCCTGGCTCTGCCCCCCGAGCTGCGCATCTCTCGCCTCCTGATGTGCCTCTCCAACGGGCTGGGGCTGCTGGGCTGCCTCCTGGCTGCCCTGGGGCTGGAGGGCTGGAGAACCTGCGAGGACAAACCCGGGCGAAAGCGGCAGCTCCTGCTTGGCGGGGGAGCCACGCTGGGCCTGGCAGGGATCACCACCCTGGTGCCGGTCTCCTGGGTCGCCTACAACACCGTCCTCGACTTCTGGGACGAGACTGTGCCCGACATCGTGCCCAGGTGGGAGTTTGGGGAGGCCACCTTCCTGGGGTGGTTTGCTGGAGCCTTCCTGGCCGCTGGAGGACTGCTCCTCGCCTGCAGCGCCCGCGCCACGAGCACCGACACGCCGCTGGCCCCCGCCTGCCACCAGGGCCCTGCTGCCCCGGGGCTGCCCAGGGGGCACCACCTGCACCCCAAAAATGCAGACTTGGTCATCTAGGCCCTTAGGGTGCTGTGCCTGTGCACCTCGTGGCTCTTCCCCTGGCAGGGAGGGCTCCTGCTTGTTTCACAGGATGATTTGCTAATTGCTACGGCAGCTCTGCAGGTTTCTCTCCTTCCTCTGCGTGTCTGCTTCACTTTTTCTCTGTTAAGGAGCAGCAGATTTCTCTGCAGCACTCACCAAGCAAGCATGGGAAGGCAACAAGCAGCGGGCAGCACTTTGTACTGCTGGTGACACCGTGGTACCATCACTGATGGGTGACACTGTGTTAGCATCCCTGGCGAGGCCCCCATAGCCAAGTCTGTTGTGGCTAATGCTGTGCCCCAGTGCAGCAGCTCTTTCCTTGCATGTCTGTGTTGCTCTGAAATATTTGCAATAAATTGTCATGTCCGTCGGCAGTATGTCTGTGCTCTGAACATGCAGCTGTATCTTTGAGAGGTGGGATGCAGGGTGGGAGCTCCAAGGGGCAGCACTGCTGCTGCAGCTATGGTTTGGTCAGTCCAGAAAAGATTGGAGGAAAAGAGAGAAAAATTGAAAACAAGGGGAAAGGAGGAAAATGAGAGACAAGGCAGCACCAAGTTCTACTCCTGCTGCAGAGGTGGGATGGCAGTGACCACGTGCCCTGCAGGAGCCTCATCTTCTCATGGCTAAGATGATAAAGCCGATCAGTGCCACAGACCTTTGTGTCCAAAGTTCCTTGACTGCATCTTTTACCTGTGCACAAGAGGCAAGAAAGGGTTTCTGCTGGTCTGAACTGTTCCTTCCACATTTTCCTGATTCAGCTGTAAAAATAAAGGCTGATTACACACCTCTGTGAGCAAGAGCATGGACCATCAGGCTGGATTAGCACCCGGAGTCCTGACAGGGGCCGGCCGCTGGTTGGACGTGGAGTTCACCGCTGGTTTAATCCCTGCAGCTCAAAGCCGTGGGCGCGTGACCCATCTCAAGGCAGGCCCAGCCCTGGGGAAAGCAAAGTCCACTCGCTCTAAGTCCCATTTTGAAACCTGCACTTTGCTCAGCTGGAGGAGAGGAAGGAGCAGATGGGCAAGGAAAGGGAACAGCGATGATCCCTGGCAGTTCTGATGCTGCAGGACTGGGGACAGAGCTGGTGCTGCTGAGAGTGAAGTGGAAGAGGCAGGTGCTCAGTCTTCTAAAAGAGAATCAAACAAGGTAGAACTGAGGGGCACTGCTCCTGGCCATCACCTTCCAAGGAGCTGCACCCCCTGCCAGCTGACCAACCCAGGGAGCACAGAGGCTGTTTTGGCTCTAACTCCCTTGGGAAATGGGAGAACAGGACAGTGAGCAAAGGTTTTCAGCCTGGGAACACTCCTCCTGTCCAGCTCAGTCCAAATACCATGACTGCCCCAGCACCATTCTGTACTCCTGACACTCTTTGCTGGTTCCTTAAATCAGGCTGTGGGCATGGGCTGGGCATTTCAGCTTCTGGCAGCAACACAAAGAACAGGGCAAAGCCACTGTTTCACGAGTCAGAACAAACAGGCTCTCCTCTTCCCAAACCACATCCTACTGCCTGCAAGTGCACAAAAGCTGCCTGGCAATGCCAAGTGCTGGCTGGGAGGAGGTAGCATGCCTCCGGGTGGGTGCTGGCCTGGGGGCTCTGTTCAAGAGCTCCACGTTCCCATTCATTGAAGGCCAAGCACCCTGAGCAGTGAGCTGAAGGCCTCATCCCACTGCTCGGTCACAACAATGGGGGGAACAAGCTCCAACAGCAGCACTGGCACTGCAGCACCCTGGTCCCTGAGGAGGCATGGGTCACTGCTGGAACACTGGCAGCAAGAGTACCTGTGGACAAAAGCAGTTCAACTTCATCATGAAGTCACCAGGAGAGTGCAAGATTCTCCCACATGAGCACTTTATTCCTAAATACTGGGGAAACACCCCCTGACAGGATGGTGGAACCACCTTTAAGGCAGCTCTGCTAATGACAACACATTTTGTACAGGGGGAACCTTCAGGCAGAACCCTAGAGTGGAATAAAGACATGGAAGGAGCTTTTTCATTCTAACATAGAACAAATGCTTTTATTGCACTGTTAGAAAACTCTGCATAGTTCCAAAAAAAGGATCCCCCTCCACTGACTCAGAACTTCTGGCTTACAACTGCTGCAGCTCAAATGCAAGCACAGGGCGACCGTAAAAGGAAATGCGAACAGGGCACTTTGTTAACCAAGTCAACACAAACACCCACCACCAACACAAGGGGCTGATCTGAGCCCTTAAGTTGCCGTTGACAGTAATCCAGCCCTGACCCACCACCCGAGGGGAGAAGGAAGTTTGCTTTCCAGCCACAAGGGCAATATCCTTTGGGGTGATGTGACTGCCCTGAGCCAGTCAGCTCCTGCCAGGCACAAACCCACAGCCCCGTCCTGGCTCTCACTGCCAGGATTTGCCTGTGTTTCTTCAAGGAAGGCTCCTGCGTGGTTTCTGGTGCCAGTTAGAATACAAAAGGCAAAAGCCTGCCTGACTTGACCACAATACAGAGCTGCATGCATGACTGCCCACGCTGCAGAGCACGAGCCACTGCTCCTTGCTGCCTCCTCCTCACTCAGCCCGGGCTCCTGTGAGCAGGAGTCTGGCTGGAATGGAACATGCAGTCTCTGGCAGTGGCCGTTCAGGGAGCTGTGGAGGTGCCCGAGAGCCCAGCCCCAATGTGCAGTGCTGAGCAGAGTTGGGCTCCCGTGGGCCCAGGGGCTGCAGCTGGAGGGCTGCCAGGACAGAAGAGCCTCTGGAGCCCGGCTGGGCCCCACGGTGCTGCCAGGGCCTGCGCCTTGCACTGTAGCAGTGGTCCAGGTCCTTTGTGTTACTGCCTTCCGTTCAGCCTCACAAGTGCAATACTGCTTTTTATCCGCTCGTATTTACAAAGAACACAGCTTGGAATCCCAAGGGCCCCTCAGCTCCCGCTGCAGCCCCGGCGTGCCCGCCCGGGGTTACTGCACGGCCACGGCCGAGGCGCCGTGGATGGACTCCATGACGGCCGCAAAGCGGCTGCACAGGTCGTAGGGGGAGTTGGGCCGGATCTTCGGGGGCTCCTTCAGCACAATGACCTCGGTGGAGCCGTCCAGGAGCCGGGGCAGCAGCTCACCCAGCTTCATCTGCAGCTTTGCTGTCAAGGGGAAAGGAGGACACAGTCAGTGGCGGCAATGGCAGAGGGCTCCAGGCCCCAAGTTAAGGAGCTGTGGTGCCTTCTGCAGGCTCCTCTCCCTGCACTGAGAGCTGCCCAGCCCATCAGCAGGGACGAGCAGTGGCTGCTGAGGCAGAGGAGGCCCCGCACCAGGCAGCCCTGCCTGCCTCCCAGGGCTCCATGAGGAGGCTCCACTGCCACCTGGCTGCCTGAGCACTGGGCCACGTCCCACTGAGACACAGAGCTTTCCCTGGAAAGGTGCTCCTGTCCCGGCTGTCAGGTGAAGAATCACTGTGTGCTTCAGGGTGACACTCAAATATTGACTGTGCAATTGAGGGGAATGGAGCCTCCACATCCTGTACACACCCAGACAGGCCAGTTCAGCCCGTGCTGAGCTGGTACCGTCCATGCCCAGGGCAGGTCTGAGGCCCCTGGAGTGCACAATACACCACAGCCACTACGGGGGTAAGAGGAGCAGGCAACCCTTGAGCCAGCCCACGTAACCTGGGAGGGGTGAGCACCCAGCTTCTGGTTCTTTAAAACCTTCTGTGTAACCAAAGGCTGTCACATCCAGTACAGCAACTGAGATAAATTTATCCAATATTAATTTTTACAACCGCATTTTGAGAATAAACCTCTGTGGTTTTGCACAGTTTTCTTTCATCAAGTTTACCCCCTGTTAGTGATAAAAACTCTGCAGGGACTCCCCAGACCTTCATGAACATGTCAAGGCAAGTTAGGACCAATTTGTCTGAAGAGAAACAACCTGAGGGGAGTCACAGAGGCTAACTCCAGAAGAAAGCACAGAACAAGAACAACTGCCCAGAACCAACATTCAGCTCTACAATGACAAACTCCTCTGCAGAAGGCAGAGATGCCCCAAATCTGCTTCCCCATTCCCTCTTCCATAACCGTGGCCTCTGATAACACCTGCTCCTCCTTCCTGAAGAGGAGCATGCCATGCCACTAAGCATGTCAGCATTCACCTGCCTTCCTGGGTACCTCCAGTCAGGGAGAAACCCTAAACAGAAGACCTAAGCCCCTCAGGGGAACTCTAAGCCATTCTTGGGACATCAACTGTCCCATTTTAGGGATGAGGGACACTTCTGCAGCTTGTTTTAGTGCAAAAGATTAACTTCTTCTGTAACAGGACTTAATGGGCAATTCAAATGCCCAATTTCTCCTCCCACAATTAGAAGGGCCTTGATGGGCTGCAGTGCAGACACCAAGAATTTAAATTTAGATGGTCCTTTAATTCTTTCCCAGTTCAGATCCCATACTGCCCTGCCCACAAACAGCAGCCATGTCCTACCGTCCATGTCTTCTCGTCCCAAATAGGAGCACCAGCGGTTCCTCATGACCTCGATGGCATCCAGGTCCTCTTTGGAGATCTCAAAGTTGTTCATTAGATGCATGCAGGGGATGATCAGCTCATTCAGGATGCTCACACCCTCTGACACATGAGCTTCTTCACAGCTGACAAAAAGAGAAGCTGCCACCTCGTTCAGCTTCTGGGGGTGGAAGGAGAATTGGGGACAGACTTGTAAAGAACAAGCATGGACCATGGATCACCATCCAGGGAAGGCCCAGCTTGGGCCCTGCACTGGCAGTCATGCAGACAGTAAGGACTAACAGCACCAGGTTCTGGTGGAACAGCCACTTTCAGTCATGGGAAACACCAAACTTGAAAACATATATATTCATACACATACGTGCAATTTGCTCTATCTGTATACAGAGAGCACGCAGCTTATTTACAATTCTAGTTTGAAGAAGGCAAGAACCAGATCTGCCTTTGCCTAGACTCCCTGAAACCTATGTGGCATGTTTTTAATTGAATCATGATTATTATTAGCTTTCCACATTGCTGCTGGCACTCAGCAAGGGGCAGAATCACATTAATAGACATAACAGAAACAGTTGCACTGGTCTTGGCTGCCATGGCGCCTGGCTGCCCCCTCCCCTCCTCTCCAAAGTGAGAGCTGAGCTCCTCCATACACACCAGGAGACACTTCCTCCGGTACAAGGCGATCAGCGACTCGCTCACGCCGCGGTTGGTTCCCTTCAGCAGCAGCTTGGTGTTGCTTTGGTAGGCGTAGACCAGGTAGGTGAGTGACTCTTGGTACCTGCAAGAAGAGGGTCAGCTCTGCAGGCTTTGGGCTCTGCCAGGGCTGTGACTACAGCCATTCCCTTGGCTCAGCTCAGGAAACCTTTCCTGCTGGGCCTGGCTGGGAGCATCAGGCTCAATGGGAAAAGCTGTACTTCCTTGCCAAAGCACAAAAGAACAGATGCCCTATGTCAAGCCATCCCTGCTCCTTTTTGCCCAGAATGCCAAACAAGTGTCTGGGCAGAGCCCCTTAAAACCAAGCTCATGTGCAATGTGTTTGTTCTGTGTTTGTTTTCTGTACTGCTCCAGGAACTGCACTATGAGAGGATACCCCAAGAAGGGCAGAAGGCTGTGTCCAACCTCACACATTTGAAGCTTCAGGTGAGAAAACAGAACTGCTGACAGGGATTAGGTCAATTTGGGGTAATTCTAAGATGCTCTTGTCATGGCTCATGTCAGTTTGCCCACCTGAATTTGGTGGCTTGTCACTGTGAACCACCTTGGAATTCAGTTCTGTTTCCATCCAGGAATAATTTCTGAAAGCCTGCACCATTTAAGGAAAATACAGGTTCTAGAATGGTAAGGAGGAAACCAAGGCCCTTTGAGGGCTCCAAACTATGTGTTTACATAAAGTGTAACATCCATCTCAAGACAGTTCCCTTTTAATACAGGAGTCCAAAGTGAAAAACCCAAAGTGATGGCAATCATTCCTGCAAATCCATCTCTGGAAAACAGAATATAAAGCTCTACTTCCCAAACGGAAATCTTAGGGGAAACTCTCAGAACTGTCAGGCAGCCAGCCAGCAGCTCAGCTCATATTTTTTAAACTGTTAACCAAGCTCGATTGTGGATTCAAGAAGACCTATTAGCAGGTCAAAAAATCTCCCACTGGCCTCAAACACAGGCCATTGTGGCTCAGAAAGAAAAATTTTTGTCACAGTGGCCTTTACTTTTAGCTACAACTTATCTTGTCCAAACACAATTAGAGGAACTTACTTTCTATTCTGGTAGAGTTCCAACCCTGTCAGCAGGTAAATGGACACCTTGCGAAAAAGGCTGTAGTCTTCATGCCATCTCTGTGGGGAGAGGAGGAAACAGAGCATCAGCCTCATCTGGAACACTCACATGCATAGTCTGGGGTCCCCAGTTCTACCCTTTTAAGTGCTGAAATGTCTCTCATGAGTAACACACACTAATTTAGCCAACTGCAGACACTCCTCCAAGCTCAGATTTCCGTTGTATTCCTTCTCCCTAAGCAGCCTCCTGCAGACACCCACTGCCAACAGGCATGCAGTGAGTGGCCACTGTGCTGGCCACACAGCCCCATGCCGTGCTCCCCGTTTCCCAGTTTGGACAGAGCCAGCTAGGACAGCATGAAGGATCAGACAGATCTCTGGTCCCTTACCTTGTACTCCTCCATGTCAACATCGTCAGGACCGATTTCGCTCAGCTTTGCCCGTGCCACCTTCATGATGCTGATGGACCTGCTCCACGTGAGTGGAAAAGGACAAAAATCACAACAGTGGCCTTGGCCACATCCAGGTGGGAAAAGCCTTCCCTGGAATCCTGAGCACTCACCGTTCATCGTAGCTGAGGTTTTTGTCTGCAAACTGCTCGAGGAGGGTCCGTTCCACCACCTGCTGCGGGGCATTGTTCTGCAGGAAGTAGATGAGCACGTGCTGCAGGCGGGCGTCGTTCTGGGGGGTTGGGGTCTCCTTGGAAAGCAGGTACAGCCGCGAGTACTCCTCATGGAATGCCTGCCAATGGAACACAGGGATGACAGATCCGCCTGTCGCTGACTGCCACAGCAGCCAACAGGAGCTCAAACCGGTCCTGTTCAGAAGGACTCCTGTGCTGACACCGAGCCTCCTCTGCTGGTGATATCCCAGGGCTCAAAGGAAGCCCACCAACACCTCAGCTCTAAACCAATGGCCCCACAGCCAGGCACACCCCACGTGTGAAGTGTGAGCTTCCAGAAGTTCCAGGGTGTGTAAATGCCTTTGAGAGAGGGTACAGCTGCCTTAGACCAATTTGGCAACCCTCTGACAAGTGCTCAGGCTGCCAAAATCGACTGGGACACACTTCTACCTGCTGAGGTGCAAGAATATCTTGTGATTTATATTCCCATAGATTACCAGCATGGATGATTCTGTCCATGTGGTATTTTTAGTTAAATTTACCTGCCTGTAAAATATAACACCAGCTTCAGCATTCACCAGTGGTTATGTTTTCAAACCTCTGTTCACACAAGATATTTATTGAGGACATCTTTGACAGCAGATGTCACAAGTAAAGAAGTACGTTCAGGACCAAAAAACCAAATTTTACAGTACTAAAAGAATAAGAAGAAAAAAGTAAAGTTTCTGTTTGTCTTGGCAGGAGGGTGTTCTCTTGCAAGCTCTAAAAATTGTTTTGAACCCATGGATACCTCATCACTGTAAGACAGCAGGAACTGAAATGCAGGGCAAAGGCCATTAACTAGAAGAAAAATTGCACAAATCGTTCCCTTTACATTCCTGACCTGTCAATATGGCACATACTCTCTATTCTGGGAAAACAGATATCCATACTATTTGATTTAGCAAACAAATCAATACCTTAACAAGCCCTGCTTCAGACCCATCACGATCAAAGGTCTGGCGGGCTTTTGCAATAGCCAGGATGACACCTTGCATGGCTGGACTCAGCATCACCTACCACGAAAGCAGGAGAACAGACACAAACAGGAACAAGGAAAACAGTAACAGACAGGGAAAGAAGAGACAGCATAGTGAAGAATGGAAGAAACTTTCAAAAGGTAAGATTTAAAGGAAATTGTATGAGTACAGGTTTGATAACTGGGGCTGTGAGTTACTTGCATGCTACTGACTCTATCCATCACATGCACTTTACATGCTGGGCTTTTTTTTAGGCATTTAAAGATCTCAAGGCTGGTCACTCCAAACCCTTGAATTTTTAAATTCAACAAGTGAGAAGGTAAAGCAGGCTGGCCATGTCCCCACCATGTCCCACTCAATCTTCCTAAGACATGTAAAATAAATGCAGAACCTCCTCGAGCCGACATCACTCCAGAACATCTCAAACCTACTCAAGGAGTGACAGCCCCAGTGTTTGTGTGAAATCCAACTCATGCACGTGAGAGAACTTCAAAACACTGCCTGAGCATGTGTGAAAGTGGTTAAAGTCAGATCCCAAAAAAATCAGTGGGCAGGGTATGTAAATTATGCGCTTGGGTTTGAGGTCTTTGACTGAAGCCAGCAAAGAGACTTGTAAAGAAATTAACACAGGCAGGATCGATTTTGATACAGTTATGCCAGAAAGAGGAATTATGACCAACATGCAGATTGACAAATTGAGTGCTCTTATGGAGCTCCTTCTCTGATGACATTTAAAAATGGAATTATGGAACGATGTGGTCCCTCTTCCCTTCCACAGAAGGAAAACTAGCTTTGTACAGGGTGTTGCTCCTATGACAGACACTATGACACCCACCCTTAGGGCAGCTCAAAGCCAGCTAACTACAAAGCTACAGGCTAATGAGCAGCAGTAATTAATTAATTAATCCCTGCACTGGGATCTGTACCTCCTCATTATATCCATCTGCATCGGATCTAACGGGAATCTTCCCCACACTGGGGATTTCCACTTCAGAGACCTGTGAGCTAGTTTGGGCAGCAGCCTCTGCTTCCTGAGTGTCCCGGGGCTGCTCTGCCTGAACTGTGGGGGATGTTTCTTCTGGATGGGCCTTCAGTGGCTCTACCTCCTTGCGCTGTGGCCAAGAAGAAAAAGAAGAGAGAGAGTAAGAAAATCCAAAGCAAAATACAGGAAAGCCAAAGGGGACCGAGCTAAACGTGGCACAGCTACAGAACTTCACAGAAATGGGAAAAGCAAAGGTCTATCAAGAAGAATAATCTGGAGACAAGAAGGGGGAGGTTCTCGGGCCAAGGCTGAGCTCCTACCTCGCACAGAGCTGCCTCGACGCCGTTCTTCTCGTAGGCTTCAGCAGTGTTGGCAATGGCCTTGGCAGTCTGCTCCTTGGCAATCCTGGCGTGCTCCGAGGACAGGGAGTGCACGCTGGGCTCACACACTGATGACTGCTCTGTCAGGACAGACGTGTGGCACTAGTCAGCAAGAGCTGCAAGGCTTTTTTCTCTCATGTTCTAAAATGTTTTGCAGCTTGTCCACGCAGTTTTACACAGCTGCTGCCTTCCTGCCCAAGGTGAAGGCACTTGAGGCGAGCGTGCGCATACCCTGTTCCAATGGGAATGGCACACGGCATCAGGGGTTCCCACTCCAGAGAACAGCACTTGTCCACTCCATATTTGTGAAAAAAAGAAAAAGCTGGAAATGAACTGATATTAGCCCATGATGATTAAGTGAATGGGAAACAGCATTTCTGGGGACAGGCTTGGAAGGATGCACATGCAAAACCAGCAGAACAGCCTTTTGTGCTGTCAGGGCAGAGCCTCCAGTAGCTGCCTTTGCTGCCTCTTTCACACCTGCTCCTGCATTCTGACACGTTTGTGCAAGGCTTCAACACAGTGGTACTGGTGACCAGCTGGCTGTTCCTGGTTCCGACATGGTTTGCAAATTCAGAGCAAGATTACCTGGTCCTGACTCAGAGGAGAGGTCCTGCAATTCAGAAGTAGGGGAAGGCTCCATCTGAGGAATCTTGCAAGATTGCTCCTCGTCCCACTCCTCTGCCTCCTGCTCCAGGCGCCAGTTGTCCTCCTGGATGTAGTGTCTCAGTTCTGGGGACAAAGCTTCCACCTCCTTCTGGAGCTGTCTAGCCTCTGGGCCCTCATCCTCATCTGCAGGAGACGCAAGACTGGCATAAGGAAACACACTGTGGCAGGGCACCACCCTTAGGGACTAAGCACACACACAGCATCATGGGCAGCCACAGGAAACTGGCTGAGGGGTAAAAGGGGAAAGAAGCCAAATTTTCTACTGGCTCTGTAATTTAAGGTGATCCAGAAGCAAAGGTGCAAAAATAAAGACAAATCTACAGAGTTATCTAAAACAAACCCCTGTTTTGTTCTACTACTGGACATGATTTACACAGAGCAGTTCCAGAACCAGCATCTGCTGATGCAGGTCAGACACATCCTGGTGCAAGGGCTCCAGGTGCACTGGGAATGGCACTGAACTGCCAACAGCTGGAAAGTTCACAGCTGTTGATGACACACCTTCATCTCTGTACAGCAGGTAAAGGTAAGGGCTGCATGGGTTCTATAGCACGAGTATCATGCTGATATTTCTTACTGCTTTTTAGATCTACTCCAGTATTCACTTTTAAAACAGCACAAAACCCAAGCAGCATAAGCTTCAGACAAGTCCTAAAATTTATCAAAAGCAAATGGCAACTTTCTACAGCAGATATTTTTATGCACCCTTTGCAAAATGCTTTAAAAAACAACAAAAAATTGCATTAAATAGGAGAAAAAAAGGGTTTATTTCAGAACTGTCATAAGAAAACAAAGAACAACCTCCAGATCCTCATCAGCCACATTTAGCAATGAACAGAATGTCAGCTCTCCATTGTTTCTTTCCATTTATTACATCAAAATGAGCCACGCGTGAAATTATTGTGTCCTTGTACAGCTGTTTGCCATGTCTAGAGCCACGTGCATAGCAGTGTCTCTACAAAGCACTGGCACTGCAAACACACTAAGTCTGAGCCACTCAGGTACCAATAGCTCTTGGGGAAAGGCTGCACAAAAAAGAGCCCATTTAGATTCAGTGTAATCATCAAAGACCAAGAAAACGAGTCAGGAAGTGTGATAAAAATGGGAGAGATAAAGTAGGAGGTATTTTACATGCCCTGAGGAAACAAATGCTGCCACATAAACACTACAAAAAGTCAAAATGAAGAACACCAGCACTAGATGCATGTTAAATGTGGCAAAAGGGCAGTGTTAGTCTGTACACACAATTCATGCATGAGGTGCTGCTTCCAATCTCACCTGGATGATTCTCCTGGCAGTTTTCAGCCCTATCAGAGATTTAGAAATGAGTCGAGCACGAAGCAGATTATTTAATCCTATCTGAGGTGAAGTTTTGTGCTCTGTCAAAAGACAGCTGTGCTGGAGAAGCTGAGGAACATAATGATCATGCAGGCCAGAGACACAGCACACACACACACGTCATTAACCAGCAGTTGTGGCCGTGTACCTGCACCAACAGGGGACACCTGGCCACTGATGTACATCAGGCAGTAGGCACTGGCATTCCTCAAGCCTCCAAAGGACTCTCGCTCCAGCTCTTCCCATGACGACTCTGTCACTGAGATGTCATTGTACTTGAGCCATCTTTTACGGGGCTGGTCATATATGAAGGCCCAGTAGTGCCCTGCATTTGCTTGTCCCTCATGGACCAGGACTGCATGCAAACGATAGGGAACCTGCAAAGTGACAAGGACATCATTCAGGGTGCAGCTAGGGACTGATTCTGCCTGACCTCTCTACACCAACAGTGGGAATGTTTGTAGGTGTAGCATGGCACAAGAGTCGAGCAGTTTGATAAATTTCTTACTATGTGAAAACTAACTTTTAAGGAAAGAAGAAACAAGATTTTCCTAAGTAAATCTTTCTCTGCTTCATCACTGGAAATTTAAAAATACAGTGAAGGGGGCAATTTAAACCAACGTGTACTAACAAAAATGAGGATCAGCAATCCTAGGTTCATATTGACATACTGAAGCTGCATTTCCTACCTGCTGGAGGAGAGGGTCACAGTACATCTGTTCAATGGACAGGTTTATTCTGGCAATAGACTCCTTCAGATCTGCCAAGAACATCAACCATGAGAGAAATGCATAAAAATTAATGACTACTCATCAGCTATGCTAGCTCCTTTGACTTCAAAGAATTTGAGGCCATGCAGAGAATATCAGATAGACTCAGCACCAGATCTCAAACAGGGACAAAATTATTTGTAGTTCAGGCTGTATCCAGCAAAGCTACAGGGGAGAAGCCAGGGGGGCATTGAGGAGGAAAATCCCTACAAGTGCATTTGGCACCAACCTCGCACGTCCTGCTCGATCTCGTTTCTCCATCGCTGCAGACACATCTGAACCAGGTTCAGCTCTTCCTTGGAGACCACGTGAGGAGCTGGACGTTCAGACAGCTCTGCAGGTGAAACAGGAGGCTGGAGATCCATACTGGAGCTCTGCTGTGGTGAAGCATTGGCCACAAATAAAGCTTCATCTTCAGTCCTAGTATCAGTCCTTTCTTGTATGCTGTGGAGCAAAAGCCAAGAGTAGTGGGCAGGTTTTTTAATCTTTCTCTAGTTTTTCTTTTTTTGGAAAAGAGTACAAAATAAACCAAACAAAAATTACTCCAGAGCTGGAGCAGGATTTCCTTTCCAGAGCAGTATAAAATGTAGAGAGAACAAGTACACTGAAATGTGCTTCTGCCTTCACAGTCCAAACTAAAATATAGGAAGAATACTAAGGAAAATTCTTAGGGAACTCTCTAAGCACAGATCCACAATGAGCAATGCTAAAAATTCCTTCCATTGCTACTAAGAAAATGTGTGTGTTTACTCAGCTTAATTTAGAGTGTTAAACCAACCATGCTGGCCTGGGTTATAATAATCCAATATTGCTGTAATTTACTGGTCAATGAAGCAAAAAAATGAGTAGCCTAACCAAAAAGAGAACATAATTTAGTTGTTAACTGCTGCTTAGGCAAGGAATACAGGGATGCTTTTGGACAAGGAGAAAGACCAGACCAAGATGCAGTGTTTTATTTACACCAACAGAACCAAATGACCAGCAAAGCAGTGGCCCACTACTTGCACAAGCATTTGCACACTACAGTATTGTGTTCACCAGTGCCCAGATAAATAAATAACCCACTTTTGGAACGCCACCCAGGAGCATTTAGTTGGGAGGGGAAGTGTCCTCCTGTGCATCCTTTTTATTTCTGTTTACTGACCTGTTTGGCTGTGAAAGCACGTCCAAAACATTAGGCTTGGCCTGGGAGTGCAGGGGTGTTGTTTGAGAGCTCTGAGCAGAGGAAATTGCCCCAGCTGGCTTTGTAGCAATGAACTCGAGCACATACTGCAGCATGTCAGGCAGTGGAAAGCGGGCTGGGCCAGAGCCATATTCCATGTACCTAGGGAAAAATGCAAGGTGTTGTATGAATGAAGGAATGAGAGGGGTTTAAACCTCATGGGACAAGAGAAGAACAACTTTTTCTGTAATGGGCTACTGGGCTTCCTCACCTCCATTGCCAGTGCAGATGACAGTGTCAACTCTGCTCTTTAAAGAATTTATTCCTATAACAGTATCAGTCAATTAGAAACAATTGAAGAGAAAGGTTTGTTTTTGAAAATACACTTCTTTCTCCCACATGTTTCAGAACAAGCACATTGCTGTTTCTGCTTCCCCTACAAGCTCCTCTGCTATTGGAAACCTCATTTAAAAGGAAGCATTTGCACTCTTCCAGAGGGCAAAAATAAAACCAGCTGACTACTCACCTTTCCAGTTTCTGCTGCAGAGTCACCATTTTCTCCTTCAATCTCTTCATTTCCTCCCTTTTCATCTGAATAAGATCTTTATTGCAGTAGAGGTACCTAAACAGAAATACAGAGCCCCGTTTGCCAGGTGAGATTTGTTTAATTCCAACATCCACAATCTTCTGTAAATATTTTAGAATCTTTCCTTGCTCACCCAAACAACCTTTTTAATTTCTTTATTTATAACAAAGCAATAGCTTTAAACATACCGTACAACAGGACAACTCACCTGTCCATATATATAGTCTGGGGAAACTCTAGCTTGGTGTGAATTTTCTCTGGCTGTCCTAGTGACTGATTGAACTCAAATCGGGAGAGTTCAAAGGTCAGAACTGGTGGAAGTTTTGTAAACCAGCGCTGTAACAAAAGCAGAAATGCCCCCAGAGGGAAATGTTTTAAGATGACTGCTAATGGCACATTTTAGACTGATCCTATATGATTTCAGACTGATTTAAAAGTCTCTGTCTTTAAGCACAGAATTAGGTTTTGTTTGCAGAGTGACTAGTCAGAAAGCCAAATTTTACAAGTTAGTAATTTATGCTTCCATTTTATATTTTTACTGTGAAAAAGCCTCATAATTGCTCTCAAGATTACTTGTCATTGCCTGATGCATCCAGCTTGATGGATTATTAAGTCCAGCACTGAATTTTACAAATTAGTTGAGGCTCCACACAATCTGCACATCATCTAGGAGCCCCCAAGAGAGTTCTTTTCATTGGAAGATCACATGCAGTGATGAACAAACCAGGAGTCCTCCTGCAGCACCAGAATCCTTATTCTCTCTCAGTCTACTTGCAAACTACTTGATTTAGGGGATTCAGAGAAGACCCCCAACTACTTTCTGTAGCTTCATACACTATTTCAAAGAGTTATGCTGAAAGAAAAATTCTCAATTGAATTTACACTTCCTCTTGCTCTTCCTGGATTCACAACAACTTCCAGTATCCACTGCCAGAAACTTCCTTTACCTATTTTAGCTTGGCACCATCCACTTCATGCTCCCCTCTGGGTTCAGGATGAGCACACTAAGCTCCTTGTCCTTTGTGGAATTCATGTCAGATGTGCTGAAGCAACAGAACTCCCCCAACACCAGAGCCTTCTAAGCAGCAGCCCATAACCACAAAGGAGGAATGATTTATGCTCCCATAGTCTGGGAAAAGTTTCTGTTAATTCCACTGCTGCTTTGACTTTCAGCACACTTGCCTAGGTGCTCAAGAGACAAAATCACCTTATTCCCTATGTCCCCTGTCATGCCACCCTTTACCCACCACATCCTAGGAAGTGCAACTAAGATGCACAATTTTCCCAGTAAGGCTTCTCAAAAATCAAGGCAGAGCCCTTTCCTCTTATCTGTGCAGACAGAAGAATTAAAACAGCTCCATGATGGGTCAAATTTCCCTTAATTTTGGGAAAGAATTTTGAGGAACTAAAAAAGCTTGGATTGAAACAAAGCTGCCTGATGAGCTCCAATGTGCCTTTATATCCAGTGCCAGCCAACACCAGCTACACCCACATCCCCTAAAATGCACCTGAACTGCTTCAGGCAGAAACCAGGAAAACTCAGGACAAACACTTGAGTCCAGTCAGAACAGGGCTCCCCTGCTCAATACTTTGTTTCTCCTTTGCTAGTTTAACACAGCAACACAATTTTCAAACATTCTCATAGAACTGAAATACTCTTCCCTGCCCTGCCTACACCAGATACCTTTGTCAATGTTGTTTCCCAGCCTCTCTCCAAGCTAACTTTTGCTGCACTTACACACAGAGGATGCTGAATGCAATGGTGCTTCCTCACCTTGCTGCAACTAAGTCTTTTATGATTGGTTTGTGATTAGTGAGATTAAAAAAAAAAAAAAAAGAAAAGAAATGAAATCATCACAGTCAGAAAATAAGAGTGAAACCAAGAAGAAAAATCCAAAACCGTACACAATATAATAGGGAGAAAGAGACAAATTCCAAATGGCATACCATGGAGTTAAGCACTGTACTTTTACCCTCCGAAAATATGGAGGCAGTAGGTCTCCCCCTACTCAGGTACAGGTAGGCTTCAACAGAAAGAGAGAGACTTGATCACACTCAACTCAGAGGCAGACATTGACCTTTGCAATTTAAAATAAACTCTCTGAACTGTTACACAGGACATCACATCTTTATAAATCAGCAAAGACAGTGTCTAACCACACTTAGTGTCTGAACCCCTAACACTAACAGACATTTACATGAGATTCCAGGTATCCAGAAAATGTTTTTTATTCATTTCTTAGAGAACACTCACAGTTGCCATTTAAAGTTATCAGAGTAACCCTGCACTGTGTGTGCTGCACTTTTCTGCAGCAGGCAACCAAAAGCCCAACAAAAAAGGTCAAACTAACCTCCTGTCCATACTTCACTGACTGAGATGCTGTTGCCTCATCCATCTCTCCCTCCACCATGGCTCCTTCCAAGCACTCATTCAAGTTCCGGTAACCATTTACCTGAAGGGGATACTGACCAAAGGTCTCAATCTTGGAAAAACTGTTGCCTGGATGATGGAAACCATACAGAAACCATGAGCTAACTCAAGAGAACAAAACATTCTGGTTAACTCCAAAACACTCAAAGGAGTTAAAAAGTTGAGTCCATCAAAGCCTTAACTCACCCTCATGGACACCCTCAGTCAGGAAAGTCCCGTAGAAGAGCTGCACCATTGGGTTTTCGGATTTGTCCCCAAGGCTCCTGTTTCAGAGAGCAAAAGCACACTTTCATTGGCAGCTGGAGGCTGCAAAAGAACCCCAAGTCATAATCTAAGCCTCTGCTTGGGGGCCTACAGCAAAAGTACATTTTTCTATCCAAGCACTAAATAAAGAGGAAGCTTCTCATTAATTTTCATGTTCTAAAGCACATGATAAAACTTACACTGGCAAGCGTGGAAAAAAAAAAAGGTTAATAAAAAGCTTCTGAAAGGAAGTTTCAAACTACCAGAGCTTTTCTGTTCACCGGGGCTGCTGAGCTCCCTCAAAAGCTCATTTACACTGCAGGCCATATTGGCACTGAGTGAAGTCTCACACTCACCAACAGGAGATGCAGATACAACATTTCAAGCTTAGTAAGCCTCATCCACAGGAAGCAAAGAACACTCATTTGCTCAAAATTTTCACAAAATAAAGTCCTCCAACTTATTAAAAGCCTCCTTAGGTCAAACTCCTGAGACCACACAGCACTCACGTGACATTCACAGTGAGCTGGAATGCGTCCTCCAGCCAGTCCAGTAGTTTGTGTGTAAATTCACTCACATCTTGCTGGAAGAGAGACGAGAGCGGAGAGTCAATCGTGACACCCACCAAAAGGTGTTCCCCCAGTCTGCTGGCACTGCTGCCCCCACTCAGCCGAGCTAAGTGAGACTCAAGTGCTGTGCTGATTTAGACTGATAATGAACTCTGCTTATCTGAACACTAGATCAGAGGAAATTACCGTGATCGCTCCCTGACTACGCAGATGGCGCTGGGTAGTGCCATGCTAGGCTGGCTGGGTAATTAGCACGCACGTACATTCTACTCTAATGACACAGGGACAGCTGCTTGTCGGCTGACAAACATGGGAAAAGGCCTCTGAAAGTACCAGCAGCATGAGGCAAAATGGGGTTGCTGTGGCTATGACTGCTGGTTTGAAGAGAGCAAAAGGCTTTTCAACGTGGTTTTACCTGTGGTTGTTCAGCTGATCTAAACACGTCCCTCAAGAGTTCCAGTGCTGCAGAAGGGTCTACAAACTTACGCCATGTCCCCAGCATTAATGCAAACAGACACTGAAGTTCTTGCATGAATGCAATATTTCTTTTTCCCTGCATTGCAAAAAGAAGAAAAGTCAAAGCCTTCCTGCAGCTCTTAAAAGCATCATCTTAAAACATAGTGCTACTGAACGCCACAGGCACATATCGTAAAAGGTACCCAACCAGCTGCACACTGGCTCAAATACCACTTCTTCTACTATGCCTGCAAACCAACGAGTCATCTGGAACTGCCAAAGAAGTTTTATAGGAAAAAACATCTCCCCACACAGCAGTTAAAGGCTCTAGAGGACAGAGATACAAGAAGCAGCCCTTTTCTTTCCTATCCTGATTCTGTCTTCGAGAATTTCCTAATTTTATCTTAAACGTAGCCAGATGATTTTAAAGCCACAGGTCTCAGATGGCCCCAAATTAATTCTGGTTAGAGAAAGAGCAGAAGGCTACACCACAAAAGAGGGAAACTTGACAGTGTTACTGAATCAAAACTTACAGTGTGACTACGACAACTTTCAAGCACATTCTGTGGGAGGGAGTACCCAAGGACCAGCCTCCGGAAATCTGGCAACTGAAACAGAGACTGAAAGGAGAGGAAAGGTAAAGCTTGGTCAGCACCTGCAAGGACTGGACTCACTGCAATCTGATGCCCTGTTTTCACTCTGACTTGACAGGTTTCTTTTGTAACTCCACATTCCCAATGGTCCTGTGTTACTGAACGCACGTTTACGGTGTGAGCAGCCCCTTGCTGGACCAGCACAGAATCAGAATCATGGAATTAACTAGGCTGGAACAGACCTTTGAGATCATCAGCATGTTTGTACCCACCCAAGGGTGAAATCTCATTCTGCCATTTCAAGGATAGAGATAAACCTTTTAGGAAAATCATTCTATTTTGCACAGGCAGGCTCAGAAAAGCATCCAAGAACAAGCCATGGTGAGAAGAACCTATTTGCAGCTTTCTTACTTCCTCTCAGAGCTGAAGACAAATGATTAACATCTCTCTGCTGATGTGAAATGGTTAGGAGAGACAAATCTGCTCAGTTCCACTTACAATTGTCTCTTCTTCAGATCATTACTAATAATATATGCTGCCTAGCTGTTTATTTGTCCAAGCATCTATGCCAGTGTATTCCATTAACTGAAATATGATACACCATGTGTTATCGAGCCAACAATAACTGCAGTAAAATTAAATTACCAGTTCACTTTGCCAGGCAAGCTTCTATCATTTCAGAAGGCACTTGGCCATCGCTGCACAACTCCCTGCATACAGACACACAGATTCTCTGTATCTGTAGCTATTTTTAAGTAAAGCCTATTTAACTGCTCTTTGGCTCTTTCTCTACAGGCACATCACATAAACACAGAAGTTTGTGTTTGAGGGTCACGTTCACTCATCTGCATATGATGACTCCCTCACAGAACTGCTGCATGTTTACTTCTAACTGAGAAACATTCTGACTCCAAGACCATAGCAAGTTTGATATGAGAGAATTTTTTTGCTGATTACCTGTATAACAGCACTAAACCAACACGTATTTCCTATATTTTTCATTCCAACAGGCCAGTCACCCGCTCTTCTCCAGTCACTCTGCTTGGGGTTCTCTCCCCAGACTTCACAGCGTTTCCTTTTGGAGCGGTTTTTGTTTTCAGCAGAATGGGCCTCCTGTGCTCTGTCACAAGAGATAAACACTGTGCTGTAAAAGCTACAGCAACCAAACTCCCCTCCAGCCAGTAGGTGTCCACCTGGCAGGTGATCCAGGGTAGCTCTCCAGTCAGCAGTCTCAGAACCCACTGATACCTGGGAAAGCCAAAGTGGGGGGTTTTACAGCTCCACTGACCTTTCAGCTGCATCCCTTTCTGCAGCTGGGGCTTTGGGTGATTCCAGTGGTCTGACAGTGTTGGCTGTGCGGAGGTTGTCTTGGTTGTGAGCAGCAGGTACAGCACCAACATCTAGAAGTAGAGGCAGCATTCTGATCAGTTTTCCACCAGCAGCAGCAAACATTCTCTTTAAGAGGAAATTCTAGAAAACATCATACTTCACAAACATGGCTCTTCAACCAATACAAGCAAAATTTTCTAGCTCAGGTTTTAAACAGAAATCCCTGTTCAGATCATGCCAGGCAGCCTAGGAGCCACTGAGCTGGATGAGGAGAACAGGGCAAAGCATGCAGCTGTGCACCACCCAGATTTCCTTACAGCTAAATTCAGAGCTTAAGGAAACAGTTCAGAGCTCTTGAAATAGAGAGATAGGATCATCAGCTTTTAAACTGTGATGTGTCACCTCCAAACATGATTAAAACACTACTAAGTGATCAGTACTGGCAAAATATGCACCAGAACAGAAGCTGGAGGGATGTGTTGCTGGCAGAAGCAGGAGGATGGATATTTCCCCTTTGAGCTCACACAAACACATGAAGCTGAAGGGGTAAGCAGAGGTGAAGCTTACCCTGTGGGAGCTGTTTGCCCACCACACTCCCTTCCCAGGAGGATGGCTCTGCAGCAGCTGGGCTCTGCACTGGCTCTGGAGCAGGGTCCTCTGTCAGGAAGGTGACTGCTTCCATGAGATCTCCATCAGCAGCCTAGGAGAATGAGAGGGGAAAGCAAAGCACCAGTGAGGAGAAGAACAGCAAAGGATTTGCCCTTTGCCTCTCACGCACCCAGGCTGATCCTATATCACTCTCACAAGCCACACATGGACCATTCTAACAAGGACCAGCCCATCATCAGCTGACAAACACACCAGCAAACACCTGTGTGCTATGTTGGGTGGGAGCCTGAACTTGCCTGACTTTTTGGACAAAATCAGAGCTCTCTTTCCCCAAAACTATGGCAATATGCACCAACCTTTAGAGCAGCAAGCAGGAATGCTGAATCCTGAATTCCTGTGATCTCTTTCATCTGATTTAAGAGCACCTGGCAATCCTATGTGCAAGAAGTAAAGAAAGCTTATGTGAAAAGGTGACCAGGATGGACATCAAGCTGTTTCTGCAAGGCTTGCTGAGGGCCCAGCACAGCACTGCTTCTTTCCTTCCTTTCTGCTGACACACTGACACTCAAGCCCAGTCACACTTGCTTGATGCAAACAGCAACAGCTTGAGCATCGCACTCAGGTTTTTTCCCTGCTAAATTCACAGACTAACATTCAACCCCTGGTATCCTCAGGAGAATGCAGGCCTGGGAGGCCAGGCCACCCTCGCTGTGGGATGTGCAGCACCCGTGGTGGGAAGGGGCTCCCCACCCCCGAGGCAGTGGCATGTGCAGCAGGACATATAAGGCGGCCGCCTGCTCACAGGGCATGGTCAGGAGCTATTTTCAGTGTGGTGGCACATGCCATTTGTGCATGTCACTTCTTACTGACAATAAGGTGTCAGAGCAAGGGCCCAGGAGCCTGTTATTGCTCCTCCTTCCCACTCCACACAGACCACGTGAGGTTTGGTGAGACACTCAAGGCCCCATGCTATGGTTGGTTCAGCCACTTAAAACAAATGATAACAGAAACTCTCTTTACCAGACTTATAAAATCCTTGCAGCCTAGGCTTACCACAGGGTGGTCACTGCACAGGGCAAGCACAAATAACCTCAGTCAATGACTGCTAGGAGAGGCACCTCTCCACAAGGAGCCTCCCAGCACCGGGGGTCCCACCACCCCTGTTCATAGCTGCAGTTCAGCTGATGCTGCTGCCAACAGCTCACTCTGGGTGACAACTGAGATGCAGCTCCATAACGCTGGCATTGCATGTGGTATGGGAAAAACATTGCAGCAGGAGCAACTGCTAGGTCTGGGTCGTGTATCTTGATTTACAGAGGCTGTAGAGGATCCTGCAGTCAGCACAGCCTGATCAATCCCAGTTCCTTAAGATCACACTTTTAATTAATCTTAACCAGCAAAGCTGCAGGCAAATGAGCTCAAGTTTCTACTTACTCTCACCATTGAGAAAAAAAATTAAGATGCTTCCAGGCCACTGGAGCACAAGTTCCACCAACTACTATTTGAGCCCCCCACCCATACTAGTCATGTGTGTGGATGATACTCCACACACTAAGACAGCACACACCTGTGTCAGCTATTCAAACAAAAAACTCCTATTTTGGTGGCAATTCTCTGTCCCATTTAAAACACTACTTTTGCTCAACTTTTACAAGAAAGAGCACATATGTGTGCAACCCCCCTCAACTTGTCCCACATGCTCTTTTTATCCTGAGAAAAGCCAAGACACCCTGGAACACCTCAGAAGCCCCAGGAGGAGCTGCCTGATGAGAAGCCAAGGCTGAGAGGCTCGGGGCAGGCATACTCCCACAAAGGCAAACCACTTAAATCATGTTGCTAATTTTGCTGCCTTAGCGCGTGCCGTGCGTGTCGGCTGACCCCACCTTGCGCCGCAGGGCGGATTTTTCCAGTGGAGAAAAAACCCCACAAACACCCTTGCTAATACACTGCATTGTAATAATGAAACCCGAGGCAGGACAGGGCATGATTTTCTGGGGTTTTTCTGCTCCAGCACACAGAGAACTCACAAAGGCTGCTGTAAGCATAAAAGCCAATTAGTGATCCTCTGCTCTAAGTTACCATTTAATATTTCAATGATTTGTGCATCCTTTTATTCAGCCTTTGAGGAAAGGTTTGTGCTAACAGCAGAGAGCTTATCCTGTACCACTTTTGAGAGGGTTATGGCTGCCCGGCAGCCCACAGAAGCCACCAGGAACCACTCTTTGTGCAACCAATTAGTTAAGATTTTGGGGATTGTGCGTGGTTTTGTTGCCATAACTAGTCTGGTTATTGCTTTCTGAGGTTACACGCCATGGGGCTACAAAACAAGCTCTGTAGCTGGTAATTAACACCAGTGTGCTGCCACTGCTAACACACCCTTCACTTGCAAACCCAAACTGAACCAAAGCCCTACCTGCTGGAAAAATAACAACCCAAACCCAAATCCTATTAGTATTAAATTACAGCAACAAGAGATGAGTACAAAACCAAGAGCTGAGAGGAAGGAGGATACTAGAGATAAAATTACAAGGTCAGCCAGGAATGATGGAATAGAAAGGTTTTGCTATTTTCCTGCTCTGAGGTGACTCATCGCCCTCAGAAGTTTGTTTTGAAGAGAAACTGTGAACAGGGAAAGGAGCAAATGCAGTGCAAGAGTTCAAGGGGGTTCCAGAAATAACCACACACAAGGAGGAGGAAGGCTGGAGCACAGAAAAGGCACCCAGAGCCGTGGCCTTCAGCCTCTGCTCCTCAGCCACACTTTTATCGTGGGGGAGAATGGATATGGAGAGAGCTGGAAACCCACAGGCGGCAGCAGGAACAAAGCCCACGTTCCCGGCCAAGGCTTTCACAAACCAATACCCGTCACAACAAGAAGCAGCAGGCAGCAACCTCGGGCTGCATTAACGTGCGCAAGATGCACACAGAGGGCCCGGTCTGGTCCCTGTCCCCACCAGACCGGGGCACGGCTGCTGCATTAATGCCACTCCTAACGCACAACCAAAGGGCTGATACCCTCACCCCATCCCACCCTGTAACTCTGACCTCTCTGAAACGCATCTCTTGGGTCCTAAGAGCACCGAGATGCTACAGGACAGTGCAGAGCCCCGCGTCAATTCGGGACGGTCTGGGCTTCAGTCCCCTGAGCACTGACACAGCCTCGCGTCCGGGTCCGGGTCCGTGTCCGGGTCCCTTCAGAGCCGATTTACGCAGAGCCCTGAAGTTTGGGAGCAACAGTTTTCGCTGACTTGCCCCGGGAGGTGCTGCCCGGCGGCGGGGAGGGCACACGCGTTTCTGCTCCCCGCAGAGCGGCGGGTGTCTGAGCGCCCGCCCGAGCCCTTTCCCGTGGTACCGGCGCATCGCGCGGCGCCGCGCGGAGCCCGTTATTCCCAACGAAACCCGACGGGGCGGGCTCCGGGAGCGCGCAGAGCGGGGAAGCGCTGCGGGCCGGCCCCGAGCGGCCGCGGGCCGCGGGCTCGGGGCGCAGCGGGGCCGCCGCGCTGCGAGGCTCGGTCCGGCGGCAGCCCCGGCCCCGCGCGGGGGGCGCCGCCCGCCGCCCTCCTCGCCCTGCCGCGGGCTCGCCCCGCCGCTCCCCCGCCCCAGCACCCCCGGAGCCCCCGCCCGCCCCGCGGGCTCGCGCCGCCGTCTCACCTCGCCTCCGCCGCCGCCCCGGGCCCGCAGCTCGGCCGTCATGGGGCCGCCGGCAGCGGCGCCGTCCCGCACAGCGCACGCGCGGCCGCTCCGGTTCCGGCCGCGCCGCCCGCCGGGGCCGCGGCCGCTCGTGCCCGTCCGTGTGTCCGTCCGTGTGTCCGTCCGTGTGCCCGTCCGTGTGTCCGTCCGTGTGCCCGTGTGTCCGCCCGTGTGTCCGTCCGTGTGCCCGTCCGTGTGTCCGCCCGTGTGTCCGTCCGTGTGCCCGTCCGTGTGTCCGTCCGTGTGCCCGTCCGTGTGTCCGCCCGTGCCCGTCCGTGTGCCCGTGTGTCCGCCCGTGTGTCCGTCCGTGTGCCCGTCCGTGTGTCCGTCCGTGTGCCCGTCCGTGTGTCCGCCCGTGCCCGTCCGTGTGCCCGTCCGTGTGTCCGCCCGTGCCCGTCCGTGTGTCCGCCCGTGCCCCCGCCCGTGCCCGTCCGTGTGTCCGCCCGTGTGTCCGCCCGTGCCCCCGCCCGTGCCCGTCCGTGTGTCCGCCCGTGTGCCCGTCCGTGCCCGTCTGTGTGTCCGTGTGACCGCCCGTGCCCGTCCGTGTGTCCGCCCGTGTGTCCGCCCGTGCCCCCGCCCGTGCCCGTCCGTGTGTCCGCCCGTGTGCCCGTCCGTGCCCGTCTGTGTGTCCGTGTGACCGCCCGTGTCCGCCCGTGCCCCCGCCCGTGCCCCCGCCCGTGCCCTCGCCCGTGCTTGTCTGTGTGTCCGTGTGTCCGCCCGTGCCCGTCCCTGTGTCCGCCCTTGCCCGTCCGTGTGTCCGTCCGTGTTCCCTCCCGAGAAGCCTCCGATCATCGCCCCGAGTCCGTTCTCCCTCGTCCCCCACCCCAGCAGCCGGGAACACCGGCCCAGCCGGCGTTCTGCCCTGGCCGCGCCCCTCCATACTGATAAAAGTGAATTATTTTCTTTCAGTTACAACAGTAGTAAACCCCCCTCCCCTTTGTGGTCCTGCAGGTGTCCGCCTTTGCTGCCCGGTGCTGCCGGTGCTGCCCGGCAGGAGGCTGCGAGCAGGCGGCTGGAGGAGGATGGACTGGGATGCTCCAGGGGTGGATGCACCCCGGGGGAAAACCTCGAGGAAAAGGCTCAAAACAACGAGGGCCCGGCATCTGCTGTCTGCTCCAGCCAAACCCATGCTTTTTTGGGCCTGGGTGAACCAGCAGGAAATAGGCATTTCTCAGATTTGCTGATTCAAAGGGCTCTATGTTCTTGGCACAGCCTAGATTCTACCTTTCTCTTAATACAAGGATACTGAAATGAGATGCCCCAGCAAGGGCCCCGGGGCTGTGCAGGATGCAGGTGTGTGTGAGCAGACCCCACGCTGTCAGCAGTGCAGCAGCTGGACCTGCTGATGAGATGTGGCTCAGGCACCTGGGCAGCTTGATTCCACCTGAGGAGCCAGTGGGGCTCAGCTCTCTTGGGGGAAACTGGTGAAAACCTCCTCCTGCATCATCAGGAATGTGTCAGTCGCAATCCTCTGCCTGCATTTGTCCCCACTGGGCTCTGAAGCTCCTGTGACACTCATGGCATTGGCATTTCCAGCAGAGCTGTGGCACTGCACGAGGAAGGGGACAGTAGGGTCACACAGTGCCACTGCCATACCCTGGTTGCCAATTCTCCCCTGAAAATGCCCTTTCCCAGCTGGGTGGGCATCTCCCACATTGGATTTGTCCTGGGCAGTCACAGACTGTCCCTTGCCTTTTGTTTTGGGAGAGGTGTGGGACCTCAGTGTGGACTGTTCTGAGATTGTCTCGGTTTCCTGGTTCTCACAGATACTCCAGATGAGGAATTTGGGAGGCAAGAGGGAGGAGGTAGCAGTGTAGATAAGGTGAAACTGTGGAAGCTGGTGTTCGCCAATTTCCCTGATGTGCAAAGTATAAACAAGACAACCAGTGATCCTTAAATGCAACAAAGTAAGAAATTCCACTCATTTTGGGAGCCTGCCAGGCTATTAATAGTGAGAGATAGGGAGGTGGTGCTGGGCACTGTGATTTTCACTCTGGGACCCTCATGCGCTGCAGAGGGAATGGTGCTATACCCAAACTTCGTTGCTTAGGTAAGGGTCCTCAGGATTTTCCTACCTTAAAAAAAACTATTAACCATAAAAAATCTGAATTTCCCTGTCACAAAGATAAACTCAGACCTGTATATTTAGCTCCAGGTTTGTCCAGGCTGTGTTTAATGTTTAGCAGCCTGATTAATGCTGTGATAATTAACTAGGGTGTAGAACAATTTGTTTGCAGCGTTAAGTGCAGTCACAGCACTGTTACATCCAAGATAATTTAGTAGGGGGAGATTGTACACTGTCAGACAGAGCCGGCTGCAGACATGCCCTCTCCTTCCATGCCCTGAGATTGGGCTCAGCCTGTGAGCATAGCTCCCGTCCCGCTCAGCATCAGCCAGATCTCCTTCATTAACAGCAATGGGCTCCAGATACCTTCATGTACTTATTATTGCCTGCCTTTAGTGGTAATGAAACAGTGGCAGAATATTGCAAACATCTGAAGGGTGTCTAATGAAAGAGAGGCCTTGAAAGGAAAGCACTTCCATCCCTTCTCTGGGGGATTTAAAAGCATTGGGCTCCTTCACTGGGGTGAGGATGGGCTTGGTAGCTGGAATGGGCAATTTTTGGCTTCTCCAATGGCCAAGCAGTTTGCACCCATGGGACAAAGCCATCAGTGTCCCTAAATGAAATTAAATTGGCCAAGGGCACCACACTGAGCAGCTGTTCACGGCAATTGGTCTGTGCTTCGGTCTTGGAGCTGCACAAGGCGAGTGCCAGAGCAGAGATCCCATGTGTGCCCCTGGCCCTCTGCAGTGCCCCCAGGATGCCAGGAAGCCCAAGCCTCCCGCAGGACCCCTGTCCCTGGGAGCAGGGCCCCGTGGGAGCGGGGCTGCAGCGGGCCCGGCCGTGCCCTGCCTGCCTGCGGTGTTCATCTCATGTCTCGCAGTGTTAAATCACAGCAGACATGCAATTCGGGCAGCGTGAGCCTCCGTAATGGGCGGCCTCGGGCGCCTGATGGGGCCGGGGCCATCAGGCAGCTGTGCTGCCAGGGCTCCTCGCTGATGCTTTATTGTTTTTGACGCTCCAAACGCGCTCTGAAAGGCGAGCGCTGGCAGCCTGGAGGAGAGCTGCTTCCCTCTCCTGCCTGCTCCGCACCGGCAGCACCACAATGGAGGCCTCCCTCCTGTTCCCACTGTGCTCCCCAGCCTGGCTACAGCACCCCGGCCTGTGCAGAGCCCAGCACATTCCATGGCATGGGGTGGGAGCTGCCAAAGGACTCTAGTGCATAATGCTGCACACCCCAGACTTGGGATGAGCTCACATTGGGGTGAGGAGGGAATGCAGAGCATCACTTGTGCCATCACATGTTGGGGATCTTGTGCTTGTGCCCCTGTGCTCTCCTCAGCCTCTGAGATTGCTACTCTGAGCTAAATACCTGCTTGCTCAGCCAAGGAACCTGCTTGCAGCATGGCTGCTCCAGGAGAGAGGCCTGAGTGCCCATCCATCCGGTGCAGAGATGCTGCCATGCCTGGCTGCAGCAGGGCCTGCAGAGATGCTGCCATGCCTGGCTGCAATGGAGCCTGCAGAGATGCTGCCATGCCTGGCTGCAGTGGGGCCTGCAGAGATGCTGCCATGCCTGGCTGCAGTGGAGCCTGCAGAGATGCTGCCATGCCTGGCTGCAGCAGAGCCTGCAGAGATGCTGCCATGCCTGGCTGCAGTGGGGCCTGCAGAGATGCTGCCATGCCTGGCTGCAGTGGGGCCTGCAGAGATGCTGCCATGCCTGGCTGCAGTGGAGCCTGCAGAGATGCTGCCATGCCTGGCTGCAGCAGAGCCTGCAGAGATGCTGCCATGCCTGGCTGCAGTGGGGCCTGCAGAGATGCTGCCATGCCTGGCTGCAGGGGAGCAGCAGAGCCTGCAGGGATGCTGCCATGCCTGGCTGCAGTGGGGCCTGCAGAGATGCTGCCATGCCTGGCTGCAGTGGAGCCTGCAGGGATGCTGCCATGCCTGGCTGCAGCAGGACCTGGACAGGACGCAGGGCTGAGCTGTGGGAAGCCCCAGGCACTGAGCACTTCGATTCCCAGAAAAGCAATTACCATGCAGCAGATTACAGGGCTAATAAAATCCCATTATGCTGTTTTGGAAAGTAAATCTGATCTGGGCGCTGCCGATTGATATCAGCCGTCCCACAGAACGTCCCGCAAGAGCCCCCTGTGTGTGCGTAACATGAGCCTACAGTAGATCACTCTAATTAGATATCCAATAACAGGAGGGCTGATAGGAACTACATTAAAATCTCTTTAAGATGAAGATGTAAAACCCGAGGGAGAAAATTCAGAGTTAATGATGCTGCAGCAGAGGCTCCACTGAGCACTCCGCGCCCCCTTGGCCTCGTCCTGCCGGCTGCAGAGCAGGAGGCTGCAGGAGAGGGGGCAGAGTAGGGCACAGTCCCCAGCACCGTGGTGGCGCTGCCCGTGATTTTCATTACCCAGATTCAATAAGGGGAGAGCACTGTGAGCTGCTGGCGCTCCCTGGGAGGTGACTTGCCAGCCACTAACGGAGCCGAGAAATCAAATTAGCCCCAGCTCTGCTCTCGCTCTCTCCCTGACACCGCTGTTGGCAGCCAACGGGGAGTTCATCAGGGCCCCGCACTAATTCTTATCTCGTTTAAGTGACTCCATGCCGGCATCTGATGCAATTTGCTCTACGCCACTGCCGCAGGCTTTTGTCCCTGGCCGCTGCTTCCCCAGGATTTCCAGCAGCTGGCAGCTTTGTGGGGGCATAGGCACCTGCAACACACACAAGCACAGTGTAGGCATAGAGGAATACAAAAGATTACAGAGGCTTAGGGTGGAGGGGAAGCTCCCCTGCCAGGCAGAGAGACACTGCCCAGCCCAAGGCGCTGATGCTGTGGATGCGCAGCCTGAGCAGGGCACCCATGCATGAGTGGACACCGAGGACCATTTGCCTCTCAGTAATACCTGACCAGGCTTTGCTTCCAGTCTTGTTTGCCCCAAGGCGTTAAATATTTTGGGAAACTGAAAACAGTAGGAAGAACTTTGTTTGCTGAAATTTACAACAAATGCAAATTTCTGGGGTAAAAATGGACTCCAGTGTAGGTGCAGGCTGGAGGGGTTAGGGGAAAGCTGCTGCCTCAGGCAGGGGTGCCAAGGGCTGGCTGCAGATGCTGCCCCCACCTGCAGCTGTCAGAGCCACTGTCAGTGGCACAGGCCCACCTGCCGCAGGTGTGAAGGGGAGCCTGGTACCTCCAGAGCTCCCCTCTCCCCTGCTGGTGGAAACCCACCCTGTGTCAGTGGCATATCCCTGGCCAGGCTCCCTTCCCCTGCCCCTCAGAGGGTTTCCCTGTCTTTCCAGCTGCTGAGGATCTCCTGGCTCAGCCCTGGCACCCTCTCCCCCCATCGTGCCCCCACTGCACACGATGCTGGTACCCCGAAACCCGCTTTGCCACAAGCAGGCGCCTGGGCAGAGGACGGGGAAGCTCTTTTGGAGCTGGGCGGGGATGGGGGATGGCTGGGTGGGCCCCACTCGCATCCTCCTGTAGCATTTTATCCTCCCAGCCTGAAACCTGATGCAGCGGGAGAGGCTGATCGCGAGATTAATTGGGCGTTCTCAAAAACCCGACGTTGTGGGCAAAGTCACGCGAGTGCCGCCTGCCTCCCCGCTCCACTCAGTCCTGCCGAGCGGGCGGCGGCTGCAGCCGGCGGACCCATGGTGCCCGCGGCTCTCGGGGCGCTCCTGGCCCTGCTGCCGCTGGCCGCGGCCCTACCGAGCCCAGGTAAGGCGAGGGAGGGCGGGCAGGGCTGGGGGCTGAGGCGGAGCGGGGCGAGAGCATCGCCCAGCACCTGAGCCGTGCTGAGGGGCAGGCAAGGGCTGCTCTTTAGGGAAACCTTCGTGCTGCTGGGAGGTGACGCACCTGGGAGAGGCTGGAGATGGGGGAGCTCCGCTGCAGAGCCTGGAGGTGCCTCCTGCCTGGGTGACACTGGCAGCAAGGCAACGTAGCCTTAGAACCCAGCTCTGCTCCGTGGGGTCTTGAGGTGCTCTGGAGCTGTGCCCAAAACCAGCCCTGGGGACAGACAGAGACATGGGGGTCTCCTGCCTGCACTCCTCTGCCTGAGAGAGGCTGCCTGAGCCCCCTGCCTGGTGAAGGGCTTCCTCCAATATAATGTTTAGTCCCCCCTCATAACCTAGAGCTGGGTTTTGGGCACGATGCTGTGCCTATAGTTTGCAGTTGCAGCTCTGTGCAGTGCAAAATTGACAGCCAACAGATTTCCTTGTTATTCAATTATCATTTTCTCATCGAATGTTCCTGGGAAATAGCACAAAAAATCCTTGAGCTGTTTTGCACCAGTCCAACTGAGTTTTCAGCAGGCTATTGACTCAAATCTCTGGACAGGTCATGTAGCTCCTGTCACCCAACTCCCAAGCCTTCTCCCAGTCTTAGCAGATCTAAGGTGGCAGAAATGGAGTGGGGGCAGTGATAGGCTCACCCTGGCAATGCTGGCCAGGAGGGGCTGTGCACACAGATCCCCATGTGCTAGCGCTGTGCCAGGGTTGTGCCGAGTTGCACCAGATGAGTTGCTGGCACAGCCCTGGCACAGATTTGGGCTGGGCAGACCAGCATGGTGTCTGGAGCAGAGGCAAAGAGCATCTGAGGTGAACCCAGCCCAGTCCTCCCTCTGCAAAGCCATTTCCCTGCTGCCAGAGCATTCTGATGCAGATATGGGTGGTGTGGATGTGAGGAGAAGGTGGTGCAAGAAAGAGTGCAAGCGTGAGCCAGCTGCCACCAGCTGCAGCAGGAAAGGTCACTTGGCCCAAGCTGTGGTGATGGCAGCAGCTGCATTTCCTCCCCTCACCCTAATTGCTGCCTCTCCCCCATCTCAGTGCCTCTGTTGGTTCATGCCTGCCTGGGCGAGCATCATGCACCCGGCTGGCTCCCCAGCACTACCACTCATGAGCAATGTCAGAGGGGCTGAGGCTGTTGCTTTCTCTTTTTTTTTTTTTTTTTTTTTTTTTTTTAGCTTAAAATAGAGATTAAAATTCCCTTCCAGTAGCTTTTCCCAAGTTCCCATAGATCTATTCCAATTAGTCTCTTCCATTATGCTGGAATTGGGCTCTGGGGCTGGGTGTGCTGCAGAGCACAGCCACAAGTGTAGCACTGCTGCCCTGGCCCAGCCCTGGTGTTCCAGGCACCTGGCAGTGAGGACACGGTGCTGAAAACGATTTGCCCTCACTTGATGCTGCTGGCACCAGTGAAGGGACTGTTTTCACAGGAAGCAAACACCAAGATACCTAAGAAATGAATTTAGCATCCTGCTTCATCTCTAACCTTCACCGTCTCCACCTGCTGAGCAAAGAAATGCCCCTGGAGGGAGCGAGTGGTATGAAACCTTCCCGGGGGCAGTGCGTCCCTCGTGGTTCCCCGCTGCCGCTGCCCTGGCACTTGTCCAGAGAGGTGCGGGCTCGCAGCTGTGCCCTCTGGGGCTGGGGAAGGTCACAGCGCTGACAACCTGCGTGGCACAGGGTATCAGTAACATATTAGGTGGTGGTTCTGCTGTCCAGGCTTGTTGCCCATCAGGATGCTCTATTAAAGTTGGATGTGAAACCCCAAGTGGTAAGTGAGGGCAGGCAGCTGGCAGCACCCCGCAGCCCACCCCAGGTGACGGCAGCCGCTGCCCTGGGGGGAGCAGCGTCCCTCCCTTCCTCCCGTCCTCCCTTTCTCCCTCGCTCCCTTTGTCCCTCTGCCGAGCAGGTGCCCGGCCCGGGGGCGGGACCCCGGAGCCCTCGGAGCCCGCCCTGCGCCGCCTCTCCCATCACCTCCTGGCGCACTACCAGAAGGGCACCCGGCCCGTGCGGGACTGGCGAACGACCACCAACGTGGCCATCGACCTCATGGTCTACGCCATCCTCAGCGTGGTGAGTCCCCTGCTCCCACTGCACAGGGAGGGGAATGGTACCTGGCGTGCAGCATCATGCCAGCGTGCTCTGCCCGTCCTCCAGAGGGTCAGTGCCCCGTTCTGACGCCGTTCTCATCTCCACAGGATGAGAAGGACCAGGTGCTGACCACCTACATCTGGTACAGGCAGGTGAGGAGCCACGAAACCTCACCCCTTCCCTGCTGGCCCCTTGGGGTCCAGCACCCCCAAACCCCCATGTTTTCCTGTGGGAGAAGTGTGCAGTCCTGCAGGAGAGCAGGGGGGGTAACACATCCCGGGGGTTGGCGAGACCTCTGTAGCACATGAACCTCAAGGCTCAGCTTTCACACTCCCTGGTTTGCGCTGTTGGGTGTTGTGCAAGCTGAAGGATTATTCTTCCCTCCCTCCCGTGGGTGGGAAGCTTTCTTGGTGCTAGCCTGGGGTCCGTGTGCTGGCAGAGTGGAAGGACCTCACCCACCAAGTCCTCTCTCCATTGTCCCCAGCACTGGATAGATGAGTTCCTCAAGTGGGACCCAGCTCACTTCGACAACCTGACGCAGATCTCCCTCCCTGTGGAGAGCATCTGGGTGCCCGACATCCTCATCAATGAGTTGTGAGTGCAGCCAAGGTCTCGAGGGAGATGCACTGGGACTGGAACTCCTCACCCACCGTGGGCACGTACAGTCCCACGCTTTGTATTCCTGGCACAGAGCTGGCAGCCTCCCCGCATCGGGAGCTGCAGATGGGGATTGGCTCTGCAGCTGGGCCATTTCCAATGCTGGCTAACCACAACCATTGGTAATTACCCTCACTGTGCTGGGGGTGAGATCCAGATACCAGGAGAAAGGCTTTGTGAAGACAGTACAATGCCAGGGCAGCTGCAGAGCTGCTGGCCCTTCCCATGAGCTATCTGGTGTCCTTCCCACTCCGTGGGGATTTAAGGTGCTCCCGGTGCCTCCTGAGGGCTCTGGGACTTCTCAGGCTGGGAGAGGGCAGCAGTCTGGGCAGTGCAGAGGTGATGGGAGGCAAAAATGCCTGCAAGGGTATGACCAAAAAAGCACAGGAGGCAAATCCCTGGCTCTTGGGCAGATCCCCCCTGAAATGCCACTTGGCAGAAGGAAGCCCTGCCCAGAGTGCTCTCCAGCCCACATCTCTGTCCCTCATGTCCCTCAGTGTGGATGTTGGGAAGTCCCCACACGTCCCCTACGTTTACGTCAGCCATCACGGGGAGGTGCAGAACCTCAAACCCATCCAGGTGATGACTGCCTGCAGCCTGGACATCTACAACTTCCCCTTCGACGTGCAGAACTGCTCTCTGACCTTCACCAGCTGGCTGCACCACAGTGAGTGCCGGGCCCGCGCTGGGGTCCCGGGGGAGCGGGCGGCCCTCGCGGGCCGGAGCTCCGTGCAGAAGGCGGCTCGTCCCTCTAGATGGCCCCAGCGGACCGGGGAAGCGCGCAGGGCGGGCAGCCCGCGGTGCAGGTGCCGGCAGCTGCCGGCGCTTTGGGCGGGGTGCCCGCAGTCCTCACCTCTCCTCCGCCCCCCAGTTCGTGACATCAACCTCTCGCTGTGGCGGCAGCCGGAGCTCGTCAAGTTCGACCAAAGTGTCTTCATGAACCAGGGCGAGTGGGAGCTGCTCTACGTGCTCAGCCACTTCCAGGAGTTCAGTGTCAAGAGCAGTGACAGCTATGCTGAGATGAAGTTCTATGTAAGAGCCTTTGGCCACCGCATTTCTCGGGGATGTGGCACGAGGGAAGGGACTTGCCCCATCCCTGTCGCTGCTCTGTGCTGCAGCTCCTGCCTGCAGGTGGGAGGCTCCTGCTAGTGAGCCCTTCCTCTGGCTCACCTTAGTGCCCCCCACCATCCTCACCTGCCTTGGCAAAGAGCCACAGCAGCTGAAGGCCTCATTTCAACCCTTCACAGCCTTTTCTGTCTCTGTCCTGCAGGTAGTGATCCGGAGACGCCCCCTCTTCTACACCGTCAGCCTGCTGCTCCCCAGCATCTTCCTGATGGTTATGGACATTGTGGGCTTCTACCTTCCTCCCCACAGTGGGGAGAGGGTATCTTTCAAGATCACTCTCCTGCTGGGCTACTCGGTTTTCCTCATTATTGTATCCGACACATTGCCAGCCACAGCCGTCGGCACCCCGTTGATAGGTAGGGTGCTTCTCCTATCCACCTGCCACGGCAGTCGTGGGCAGAGACTGCAGGGCCCTGAGACTTCAGCAGGGAGGATTGGCTCTGTGCACGAGCCTTTGCAGGTCACTCACCTCACTGGTGCCTCTGCAGGCATCTACTTTGTGGTGTGCATGGCACTGCTCGTCATCAGCCTGACAGAGACCATCCTGATTGTGTGCCTGGTGCACAAGCAAGACCTGCAGCCCCACGTCCCTGAGTGGCTGAAACACCTGCTGCTGGAAAGAGCCACCATCCTGCTCTGTATCCGGGACAGGAAGAATTTCAGCCAAAGCAGGATGCAAACCTTGGACACGTCCAGGCAGGTGGAGAACAATGACAGCACAGGTAAGGGTGGCACCGGGAGGGCCTGTGGGAACTGAAGGAGTCTAGGTGCTCTGTAGCCATCTACATCTACATAGCCATTCTTTGTATGGTGAACTGGGTGCTTAGTTCACCCTCACAAATCCCAGTTCCCTGTCTAAATAGGTTTTTCACATTTGCTTCTCTTGATCCCTCAGCCAAGCCGACCCCCTATGCCTGTGAGGACCCCCGGGAGTGCGGGGCAGTGGGGGGCACGAGGCCTGCACTGGCCTTTGCTGGCCGGCCGGAGGGCTCAGCAGCACTGCAGGAGGTCCTGCGTGAGACCACGGCAATCCGCCAGCTCCTGGAAAAACGGGAGGAATTCCGCGACCTCGCCCGGGAGTGGCTGCAAGTGGGCTACGTGTTGGATGTGCTGCTGTTCCGGGTGTACTTGGCAGCCGTCCTGGCTTACAGCATCACACTGGGCACCCTCTGGTCGGTGTGGAGGGATGCCTGAGCAGGGCCCGGTGCTCAGGGCGGGAGATGGGGGACCTCACTCTGGTGGGTTCTCCCTGGCTCTGGGACTCGCCAGTGTCTGTCCACCCAGGCGGGCGCATCCCTCACGTCCCTCAGCTCCGCAGCGGGAAGGCGGAGCTGAGCAGGAGCCCCCAGGACCCCATGACCCTGCCCAAACCTCTCTCCATGCTTCCCCTGCCAGCCCCGGGAGCGCCTCCGGCCCGGCCCGGCCACGGCCGCGGCTTCAGCACCGCGGACAGCGGCCCCGCCGCCCGGCCCCGCCGCCTGCCGAGCCGGGGTCCCCGGCATCGGGTGGGGTCCCCCCTGCTTCGGGGGATCCCCACCTCCCCAAGGGTCCTGCTGTCCTCGGCTCCCCTACCCCTCACCCCGGCTGCTGCCTTTATATCGTACCCCGGGCCCCCGGGCATGCTTGCCCAGCAGATCCCCCCATGCTTGTGCTCAGCAGTTTCGGAAGTGGGAGAGACCCCGCGTCCGGCCGCGGCCAAACCGGGATGGAAATGGGACTGACTCCGTGAGCACGCGGTACGGGGAGAGATGCGCGGGGCCAGGACTGCCATCACAGCTGCAGTAGATCCCAGCTCCCGCTATCATCTGCCCCTGCAAGGACAGAGGCACAAGGCCAGAAGTGCCACAGATACCATAAGGGCCCATCCCATGTTCTAGGAACATCCCTGCATAGGCAGGTGATGGGGGACAGGTGGGTTGACACCACCTGGCTCTCATACATCTGCCCTCAAACCCACCAGCCCCAGAGCAAGACTCCCACTCACTGTCTCAGAGCCATCACCTGCAGGAAAACTCACCCCTGAGTGACGGGGGCTGAGGACGGGTGGAGCGGGCTCCTGCCAGCGCCGGCTGCACTAATGCGCTGATGGTCTGTAAGTGGCTGCCTATTGATGAGGTGTCCAGTTAAAGAGTTCGTGAGACACTAAATCAGCCCATTGATCCTGCCGAGATCGATGGTGCTACAGACCTGATCAGTGCAGCGGGCAATTAACACCCTCTGGAATGAGCTGCCTTCGTGTAACATCAAACGCTCCAACAGACAAATCCAATGGGGCCATTGACCCGGGTGGGTGATGCCACCCAGCCCATGTGTTTGACGAGGGTACTGGGCAGCAAGACTCCTGAGCCAGCCTTGCCATCTCTCTCCTGCCCGCCGTGACCCTGATGTCCCCCAAGGCTGCACTGCAAGATGCTCATCTGTGCTGCTGTGTCCCATTGAATACTTTGGTCCTTGTCCTCCCCGTGCTAGGAAACCATCATGCACCCAACCTAACCCCCCTCAAGAAACTCAGCAGTCCTTTTCCCTGGAAGGAGAAGCTGCCTGTCCTGGAGGAAAGATTGATTCTCCCCTTGCCCTCTCGCTACTTTGGGAAGTGCTGCATGTGGGAAAAAGTTCCAGGCATCTGAGAGAAGCCTGGATTTTCCTCTTTAAAAAAAAAAAAATCAATAAATCTGAATCTAATCTCCTAATAAAGGTTTAATGAGGACATAATGTTGATGGAACAGAACATTGTTGCAGCATAATCGCTCCCAGCTGCTGTGCGAGCGTGCACACAAAGGCCCGGTCCTGCCGCGATTTCCCCGCTGTTGTAACAACGCCTTTGTGCCAGGCTGGGCTTTGCCTCCCTTCTCGTGGGGCGCTGCAGCCCGCAGGTTCCTCACAGCAGGACCACCTCTGCTTGCCCTAACCTGGACCAAAGTTCCCCACCACTTGCCCAAAGCCTTCCTGGGAGGCTGTGCTGGGGGGACTGGGGGAGGCAGGAGCATCATCAGGGCCTTGGAATGGACACATAGCGCCTCAAACCTGCTGGGAAACGCTGGAGCAGGACACTGGCACATGCCACCCATCCCTGGGAAAACTCAGTGCTGCTCTGCCCTTGGTGACTCCAGCTGTGCTGTAAGCAATGTCTGATGGCATCTCGAGGTGGCGGGCAGCGTCGGGCACAGGCAGGGCCGGGTGGTGCTGGCAGCACCCGCTCGGGCCGACGGCAGCGTGCGGTGCTGCGCGGTTTGCCACGGCACAAAAGGAGAGCAGGCGCTGCCGTTAATGTAGTCAGTAAATAAATAAAGGAGGGCTTAAGCTTAGTGTACAGCAATCAGTCGGGAACTACAGGATAATTAACACAGCAGGGGGCCGGACGGCTCTGCAGGCAGGTTTAAATGAACGAGTTCACTTTCATTGAGGCAAACTTGCTCTGCTCCCTGGTGAGCCACATGGGCAGGCAGCAGCACAGGCAGCAGCACAGGCAGCGTGCTGTGGATGCTCCCTGCCCACGGGGACACTGACATTCCAGGGAGACCCCCCCGCCCACTGGGGCTGGTTTAGGGATAGGACCTCCTCAATTTCCCCCTCAGAGCAGGCACCCCCAAACTCACCACTGTGGGTACCCCCATGGCTCGCCCCAAGCTGGTGGGATGCATCCTTCCTCCTCCTCCTCCTCCTCTTGATGGGCATAGGAATGGGAGACAGCAGGCTGAGACAACGGAATTAACTTTATTGGTTGTTCTTTTGTTTTCTAACTGCAGATTCAAGGTATACAACTGAACATTGCTATTTTCCTTATGAGACTTATAAATAAAAATACAAAAAATGTTCACTACAAAAAAATCTACCGTTAGTAGGATGTAAAAAATATTCTCTTTGCTATAGAAGGCACGAACTTCACTTAGTGACACATGGAGAGAAAAAAACCTGCAGCAGTATATTCTTTTTTTTTTGTCTTTTTTTTTTCCTCTGTCAGAAACACTGAAGTCTTACAAAGAAATGCATCTGAATCTACACAGGACGAAGGCAGATGCAGAGAGCTGCAACTAGGAGACACCACAACTGTTTTTTTTTTTTTTTTCTTTTTCTTTATTTTTCAGGAAACTTTTAGCTAACGGCATCTGTGGCTAGAGGACAGAAAGAGGACTCGCAAGCAGAACCGCAGGGGAGCGAACGGTGAGACAGGAAAAGTCGTACAAAAAATAGGAGCCGATAGATACTCTGAGAAAACCAAAGGGGAACTTGGGCACCTTCTGCGCCCGGGCTCAGAGAGGTGCTGAGGTAGACGGAACGAGGACAGCGACGGACCCGAACCACGAGCGGCAACACAGAGCAACGGGACGGGCAGGCGGGCGCTCACGACACTGACACAAGCCAGGGGAGAGGGAGCCCGGGACCACGGGGCCCCGTGCGGCGCTTGGTCCTCACTGCTATGATACACATATATATACTTATATATATATGGAGGGGTGGCAGGGGCTGCGCCACAGCCAACGGTGCGGGGACGTGCGCCCGGGATACAGCAGCATCACTCCAATGCTGACCCCAACACTGTTGCAGTGGGGGCTGTGTCTCTGAGGGAGAGGGATGGTGGGATGGAAGGGGAGGTTAAAGCAAAAAAAAAAAAGCCACATGAGCTCGGCCACGTGCTCCATGGCACCATGGCACCCGTGTCTGGTAGTACCAGGACACCACGGGGACCTGCCGTGCACACGCCAGAAATTGCAGCAACTTTCTGTGTGAAAGAACTGTTTTCTTTTTTTTTTTTTTTAATATTTTTTCTGTTTTTTTCTTAGGCACAACAATTAAACGAGCCGTTCTCCACAGTCACATCCCGGATTGTACAGCAGCGGTGTCCTCCCTGCGCAGAGCAGCAGCTGTCCCGCGCGCAGAGGCACACGCACGTGCAAAGCCGGGCTGGGGCACCAGGGAGGACGCTGCTCCCACAGCCCTATCCCTGCTTGGCACCAGGAGAGGTGGGAAGGGCACCCCAAACCCGGAGGGGCCATCAGTGTCCCTCCAAACTATCCAGACACTGTCCCACCCCCCCACCCCCCACTCCTTTCCCCCCTTTTTCACCCAAACGCAGCAAAATGACAAAAAAAGAACTGTGGGATGGAACCACCAAGCCCGCGGCTGCGCAGGAGAAACACAACAAAAACAAACACAAGAGGTAGCTTCAGAACCAACACCCCCAGCCCCATGGGGCCAGGCAAAAAATACCAGTTTTGGTAAGGATAATGCACAACAGGAGGCTGGCAGGGACACCAGTGCCCCACCACCTCTCCACCACCAATGCTGGGCACGTGGCTGGTGCACCCCAGCCATGCCAACCCCTGTCCCTCCCAAATCAATAAAAGCTCATGAGGTCACAAAAAAATGAGGTAATTTCAAGTAAAATGTGCTAAATGCGGAAATATTCCAAAAGAAAGTTCAAAAAAACCCAAACAAAAAGCAAAAAAAGCGGCGAGTAAAGCCGCCTGCCACGGGGCACCCCTTACTTGTGGGCTCCTGCGGCTGAGGGCTGGGCAAAAAACCCCACACTTGGCACCTTCCAGGTGCCCCAAATCAGCAGAAGAAAAGAGGATCCCTGCATTCGGAGTGATGCCACACACTAACAGCTCCAACACTGGCACTGACTGCATATCACCAAACCAACTGCATCTCCCCATGAGGGGCTTCACCCTTGCCCCAGGAAGGCAGGGAAGGAGGAAGAAATGCATAGAGAGGTCTTTGGTCATGGGGAGAGCAGCAGCATCCTGCGCCCCTGAGCCCACCTGGACAGCAGGCAACACCGCAAGGCAGCCTGGCTCCCAGCTGGCTCCCTGTCCCAAACACCCTCCTCTGGCCAAGATGCCCCCAGGACACTCTTGCCAAAGCACTTGTGGCTCACAGGGCACTGTGCTTTCCTGCCTGCGATGCTGCAGCCTGGGGAGCATGAGAACCTGCCAGAATGGGGCCCAAGCCCCACATGGGAGCTCAGGTCCTCTGCAGAGCATCCACAGCAGGGTCTATGCAGTGACAGGACACCAGGAATTAAAGCCTTCCCAGAGCACTAGCTGTACACACACTTTCAGGGAAGCGCCTCTTTCCTACATGGTCTTCCCAGCAGCACCAGTGGCCAATGCCAAGGGGGGCCTGGCTGGGGGTTGCAAAGGGTGAAATCTGCCCTGCAGCAAGGGTGAAAGGGCAGCAGGCGCATGAGCAGCTGGGACAGCAGTGTGGATGGGGCTGGAGAAGGGGCCGGTGCGTCCCTCGGTCCGGCATGAGCTGCAGGATCCTTCCGGCGAGAAGAAACGAATGAGAACTGAAAACAAACAAGGCCATGGATGCTGCGGGTTTGGTGGGATTTTTTTTGCCCAGTCATCTGCCACTTGGCCCTGCTGCCCCTCTGCCTCCTCCCTTAGACATAGCAGAGGTAGAGATAGGTCTTCTCTATCCGCCAGTCAGTGGGGATCTCCTCTGGTTTGTGGCCCTTCATGTGCTTCTGCATGGCGGAGAGGCTGGGGCAGTACTCCAGGCAGATGGTGCACTGGTAAGGGGAAGCGCCATTGTGGGTCCGAAGGTGTTTGATCATGGCCGAGTAGTCCCGGGAGCGCTGGTGGCACAGCTTGCACTCGAAGGGCTTCTCACCTGTGGGATACAGGGTGTCAGTGCTAATCAACTGCCCAGCATCAATGCTGCCGCAGCGGGCACAGCCGATAACCAAGTAATGAGCAGCAGAACCGATGTGACTATTGATCCCTGTTACAATAGTGACACGCCAGCGCATCACGGGCTCGGCATCCCTGGCTGCCACCCGGGTCCACATGCCAGCCCTTCCACCGGTCGGTCCTTGCCAGCCTCACCACAGACACCCCAGCATGTACCTGTGTGGACTCGGTAGTGGGTCTCCAGCTGGTGCTTGAGGCTGAACTTCTTGCCACAGCCGTTGCACTCGTAGGGCTTCTCCCCGGTGTGGATGCGCTTGTGGCCCTTCAGCGTGCTCTCGTCCCGGAAGCAGCTGCCGCAGAACTCGCACTCGTAGGGGTGGTCACCTGCAAGCACACGCTGGGGTCAGGGCTGCCATGACTGCTGTGCCACACCAAAACCAGCTCCCCAGCCTTTTTACTCTGGGCAGCCATCCTGAGGACAGAGTGTCCCAGTCTCCCCAGTGCAGTGTGCTGGTCCCTCCATGCATAGACCTTCTGGTACAGAGGACATGCTCGGGTCTGAGGCACAGTAGAGACTGGAGTATGCTGCAACCCTCCCGCCACCAATTTCCAGGTTTTTTACCCAGCAGCACCAGCACAGACCCAGCCCTGGGCATCTCCCACACTCTAGACCAGGCAGCTGATAAATGAACTCTGGTTTGGCACCAAAGGCAGAATGATTTGAAGGAAAGGTGAGGGCTCCAGCTACTTATTTATTACAGCCACGAAGGCAAGGACAATAAAGATAGATTGATCGTCCGAGACTTTGTTCATGAATATTTAAATATTACTGATTTGTCTTGTCACTGTAATTACAATTTCTCTGTGCCGCATATCCTACAAGCACAGTTTATGGTAAAGAATGGCGAACTGTATTTCACTTGTCCTGCTGCAGATGTGCGGAGCTGCCAAGCGTGTAATGTTCCCCGCATTTCATACATTTTCTTCAGCTGTGAAGGCTTAAGTCATCCACAATGACCTACGTTTTTTCATTATCCCCGTGTCAAACTGCACTCGTGCCTGGGCATAAATTGTCCTTCTCGTTATATACTCACATGCCTGTGCTTTCGCTTCCTCTTTAAAATGATATTTTACTCTCTCCCCATTTGCCGCAGCCCAGCTCTGCGGCCCCTCGCCCCTCCCGCAGCTGCTGCCTGGGCACCTGGGGGGAGGAGGATGCTCGGGATGCAGCTCAGAGCCCCCCTCCAAAGGCAAGGCAGGCGGTGCCTGTGGGCTGTTGTTGACTTTCCCCTCCCCGTGCCCAGTTCCAAACTGCCACTTTGGCTTTTGATCCTACAGTCAAAGACAGATTTTTCAGTCAGAGGCAGCAGCATTTCTACCCGCCCACTTTTCAGGGGAGCCTGAGCCCATGGAGCACCCTGGCCCCGGGACAAGAGGGAGCATCCTGCAGCTGTGCAGGACGACACCACATGGCACGATTAAACGCTCCTAAAGCGCCGATGATCCCAGTGTTTTTTCACAGCCGGGAGCTACTAAAACGGCAGAGGTTGGGGTGGGACACGCGCAGCCCGACCCGCAGCCCAGGTCACCGGATTACTGGCTATAAATAGCTCCAGCACTCAGCATTAACATGCTTATCATCGACACAGGATTCCCATTTCCACACTGGGACCCCTAGCCCACGTGTGCATCTGGCAGCTGCCAGCTGGACAGGGCTGGACAGAGCGACCCTCCCTGACACCACCCGCACAACCCCCAGCAGCCACCTTTACGTCCCTTTTGGGGAATGTGTGCAGGGCCCCTGCCTGACCAGAGAAAGAAGGGGCATCCCTCCTCAGGATACATTTTGTTCCCTGTCGGCAACAACAGTGGTGTCAAGGAGGGCACATTAGCCTTGCACTTGTGTGGGCAAAGGATGAGTGAGGAGGGCTTCACCCAGGCAGCTGGGAAGATCCGTGGCACTGGCTGAGATCCTGCACGGTCCTGCTCATCCCCCAAGAACCAGCTCTTTCGGGGGTGACTGGCCCCGAATGATGGTGCTGACGATGTGGCCAGGACCACGGAGCTGCCCAGGCACGCTGTCGGAGGAGCTGAGGACACGGCGCGGGCGCTTTGAGGACACGGCGTAAGGCGGCCAAGCCGGGCTCTCCCGCCCGGCAATCCTGCAGCCCAGCCCTGCCCCAGTGGGGCCACGGCAGCACCAGCTACACGTAGCGCAGGTCGCCCTAATCCCATTAGGGCCGAGCACCAGCTGATTATGTGCATCTACCGCTGTAAGCTGATGAGGCGGATATGATCGCACACCCCCTAAGAAGGTCACGTGCCACCTCAGACCAGATCAACTTATTACACACAGTTTGTTTTTTTTCTGTTTTGTTTTTCAAATCCAAGCCACTTCGGGCACCTCCACCTCCTCCTTTTTTAATACAAACCACCTCTCTTCCCCCTATTTCTTTTTCAGGCGTGGGGAAGGAGCATGTGCCGGCTGCCCCAGCCCCGAGTCCCCCTGCCGTACCTGTGTGGGAGCGCAGGTGCCTCTTGAGCGCGGTGTGGCTGGGGAAGGTGCGGTTGCACTCGCTGCAGATGTAGCTGCGCACCCCGGCGTGCACCTCCATGTGCTGCTGCAGGGCGCTCTGCGTCTGGAACCGCTTGCCGCACAGCAGGCAGAAAACGGCCATGTCTGTACCTGTGCGAGAGGGAGAGACCCTGCTTAGGCACTGCCTGGCACCCCCCGTCCCATCACATGGCAGCAGGGATGCTCGCGCAGCAGAAGGGACCCCAAGAGCTGCAGGGCTTTGGGTGTCATTGGGAGTCCCTGGCCACCCTGGCCCTGCTGACACTGGCCCTGTGAGGGGAACAGCTGAAGAGGAGAAGTTGCTCTTGTTGCACTGGAGGCAGCTGGGAGCCCTGGCGACGCCAAGGGACTCCCAAACACAAGGCAGCTGTTGGGTGATCACTGCATCCCCACACACCTCTGAGAACTGCTGAGCTCAGATTTTGTGATGCCCAGGAGAAAGGGGACCCCAAGCAGCACCCCATGAAGCTGCCCTGGGGAGCAAGGCAGGATGTGAGAGGGGGACGTGCCCACCCCTTGTGCTGTGTGTGGCCCTGAGCCCCAAGGCAGATCCAAGCTCCATACCATCACTCTTGGGTACAAACCTGGCTGCAGCAACACAACAGGGACAAAACCCCAACCCAGGTGCTCGTACCCCGTCCAAAAACATCTCAGACCTCTAGCCTTAAACAGTTTGTTTTCGCTTATGCATAGCTGATTGTTCAGAACTGTGAGTCACTGCAAATTGTATTACACAGGGAGATTAAGCAAATAAATGCTCGCTTTTTGGAGACATTAAAATGTGAGGACTATGGAAATAAAATTAGCTAGAAAATTGTATTAGCAATTCATTAGCAGCACAAGATGTTCAAGGTAACCAACAAACCCATGCAGCCTTCAGGAACAGCAGGGGCAGAGGGCTGCTTGCCATGCTGCCAAAACCAACCCCAGGGAGACCAGCAGGACCACAGCAGCACGGGGCAGGGACATGATGGGCAGCACCACTGTCAGTGGCAGCAGGCAGGGGACAGGGAAGGATGCTCCTGGGCAGACCCACACCTCCAGCTTGGGAGCCATGGGCAACGGGCATCCCAGAGGGCATCTTGGTTCACACATCACTTGCTCTGGCATTGTGCCATCACCCACCCAGGTGTGGTGGCACGCTGTGGTCAGCTCTGTCCTGCTGGGGATGCAGAGGCTGCCTGGGGGGATGCTCAATCTCAGCCTTGCACTGGGCTACCCAAAAATGCTCTGAAATCTGAAAAAATCCCCAGTGAAATGGGAATAAAAGCAGCAAGAGAGGTGGCCCCGCATGGGAGCTGCCTTTCTCCCTCTGCAGGGATTTATCCCGGGGGGTTGTGGGCTCATGTGCCCCCCATGCAGCTGCGGACAAAACGCTCCCAAGACAAAAAAAAAAAAAGGCAAAAAAAAAAAAAAAAAAAAAAAAAAGCAGGCAGCCCCGAACGGGCAGCGCGCAGCAAATCCCAAGAGGTATGTGGCCCCGCGGCCCTCGGCGGCCCCGGCGGTGACAGCAGGACGGGTCAAAGGTCCCCGGGGCTGAGCCCCCAGCGCCGCGGCCAGCTGCGGAGCGGAGGCCCCGGCCGGCGGGACGCCGGCCCCGATAAATCTGCCGCCAGCAGCCCCCGCTGGGGCCGGGGACAATGGGCTCCCGTGGGGGCGGAGGGCAGGACAATGCCGCCGGGCCGGCGCGCGGGGCCGTAACAAATCCTCCCTGGCACCGTAGGGCCCTCATTTGTGAAACTAATTGGCCCCCGCTTGAAAAAAAAAAAAAAAATGGGCTGACTCCAGCAGCCGCAGTGATGGGGACGAGCTGCCTCGTGCACGCATGGGGGACGGGGCTGGCTGGAGCCGGGCATCCCCCAGGTGCTGCTTCCCGAGACCTGCCAAAGGCCGTTTTAATTTCTCCTTTTTGTTTTCCTTCTTCAAGTAACGTATCAGTAAATAAACACCCCAGACTGGGAGGTCAGCGTGTATGGCATGGCCTGTGAAGGCACACATTTCCAGTTGTGCTCTGAGAGCAGAGCATCTGCATGACACAAAGGCTGATACCGGCCGGGCACAGAGGTGGAGCGTGTGGGAGGTGGCCCCGCGTCCCAGCCCTGAGCCCAGCAGTGGGACACGGGGCTCAGGCAGGGCTCCTTCCCTGCCCGGAGGCTCCGCAGGTGACTTTCTCCAGCAGCCAAGGGGTGTGGCAGGCACCGCGCCCGGCTCTACTGGGTACTGTCCCACTGCCGGCATCCAGGTTGTTTGGCTTTTTTTAGGCTACATGACAACTATGTCACACCTTTGGAGAAAGGATGGGAAGTGGGAAAAAATGGCAAAACTCTTGAGAGGGTGCCACACCGGGTGCCACAGGACTCAGCCCTGTGTCCTGTCGTGAGTGCATGCCTGGGCTCCAGCCACAGAAGCCCCGAGCCAGCCCTCAGCCATTGGAAGAAAAATCACCCCTGATAAAGAAATGCTGCTGCCCCAAATCAGTGAGAGACGGATTTATTCATTTCCCTGACATTTTAATGGTTTCTCCCCTTTTTGCAGGAAGATGATTACAAATTAAGCAGCATTTAAACGCTTTTTACTGTCAACAATTAAAAGGGGTGAAGGCGGGCGAGCAATTCATTCCCCGGGAAACGCGCTGGCTCTCGGCGGGCGCCGACGGCCCTTCCCTCTACTGTACACAGCACAATGGCCCCGAGCACGCCATTAATTTTGCAGGACGTTCAAAAGCAAATTAAAATATAAAAAGCCCCAGGGCACAAAGATAGATACCGAGGGAGGGGGCGGCGTAGGTCAAGCTCGCAGAATTGAAGTCTTAGCAACTGGGAAGGTTTAGGCACAGCCCCGCATGCTGCGTTCAGCTGCCACCTTTGCCCACCATCCCCAGTTTCTGTGTCCCTGCCAGACACAGTGCTGTGCCAGCAGCTGAAAGCCACTAGTGGGGCAGCTGTTAGCACTGCTACAGGGTTCCGAGGGGGAAGCTGGAGTGATTTGGGTGTTAGACGCTCTCTTAGTAAGCGTGCTGGCCACATCTCGCAGGGTCTTTCTAAATACAAGGGGGCCCCAAAACTGATTTTTAGTGGGGGGATGCTTGATGGAGGGAGGGAAAACCCTATGGCTGCAAGGCCGGAGATGCACATCCCTGTTCTCCAGCAGCTTGGTCCCAAAGCAGCGCCGTCGCCAGGGATGTGATGACGAGCAGGACGCGCCGCGTGACAGCGCGCCCCGTCCGTCCGAGCCACAGCGAGGGAGCGATGCTGCAGCGCCGCCCCCACCGCCGCCTCTGCCAGAGCAGGAATCCAGCTAAAAACCGGCGTGGCCACGGCTGAGGGAGGCAGGCTGGGGTGGGTCCCCCTCGCACTGGGCCCTGGTGGAGTTTATGGATGCGGGAGGTGCACTGCAGGAGAAAGGCGACACGTCCCCTTTAAAAGGAAATATAATTTACAGTGTGCAGCCAGGCGGGCCATAGTTTCAATCTCGTTTACTATAGAGAAAACTCTGCTAGCTGTTCTCTATCCCACAAATCCGATTTAATCAGACAAGCCAGCCAGCGTGGCTTGAAGTAAAAACGGATAATTAGTAAACAGAGAGCTACTTCAGTGCTTCATTGGCATTCGAGCCGGGCTAGTGTGTCGCATTTAAAATGCAGTCTGATGAAGTTTACAAAATCAAACCATTTGTTACTCCTATTGAAGAGGCTTCAGGCCACTTGCAATTAAATTGGAATTAGTGCTTAGAATGAGATACAGCAAATTCATACTAAAAAGGGATCTGACTTTCAGACATTTGACTTCAAGTTTTTCCCCCCGTGCTAGAGCACGCGTGCGTGTGCTGGCCTGCTGGCCCCCCAGCGCCCCCGGCAGCACTGCCAAGCCCAGACCTGCTGTGTGGCTGGGAATGGGGTGACTTGGGGATGCTGTGGCAGCAGGGCAGGGGGACAAAGGGAGTGGTGCCACGATGCTGGTGAAGCCATCCCCACTGAGCCCCAGCAGGGTGGCAGCACGGGGCTGGCAGTCCTCAGGCTTGTGGCATCAACATCGAGATGTGCAAACCAAACTGCCCCTCCCTGAGTCCTCTTCAAAATGCTGCCATCTTTCCCTGCCTGCCCTCAGACCCATGTTATCAGACTTGGAAAATTAGCAGATCCATCCAATGTTGGAATAATCAGGAGCACGGAATGAAAGGCTGTGGAGGGGCACACTGGGAAGGCTCCAGCATTATCACGGGCATGAGCATGCTCACGTCTAAGGATGCTGACAGAGCCTGTTGCTGCCTCATGCACCCTAAAACCCCCAAACCCTCGGCTCAGGTCCTGATAATTCAGGGTCTTCCACAAGGTTCCCTTCTTCGCTCTTCATGTTTAACATCATGTCTCACATGGTTCATGTGCCAGAGGTGACCTGACACTGCTGCTGTCCTTACAACAAGGGTGAGCGGCTCCAAAACATCCTGGCCATGCAAAGCAGGAGCCCAAAGGCTGTTAGCACTCCTGAGATGAGATTTCAGGGACATTTGATGATTTTTGCCAGCATGTCAAAGGCTCTCTACCAGCCTCTACCTCCCAGCCAACACTGCTGGCTGCTGCTGCAGGGGAAGCTGCAGGAACAGCAGCACTGGGGAGCAAGGTGCCAGGGGCGGTGGGGGCCAGAGAGTGGCAGAGAACCCTCCCTTTCAGCCCTGCCTACAGGAAGGTTAGGAGTGGTAACAGGGCTAGCAAGGGGCCCAGTGCCTGGAGCATCCATCTCACAGCTCCAGCACCCAAGCTCAGGCAGAGCTGCCCTGGAGAACAGCCTGAAGGTGCCCAGCTCAGCTTGCCACAGGGACCCTGGGAGCACGGTGCACATCCTGCTGTCACTGAGCTGAAAAGCAGGCACCAACACAGCCTGGGTAGCACCAGCACTGAGGCTGCAGGACTCACAGGACGTTGCCCCAGGATGATGGTGGGTGCATGTGCAGGGTAAAAAAACCAACCCAATTTCAGATTCTGTTTTCATGATGATTATGACACCCAAAGTGGTGTTTTTGGTGGCAGCACTGAAGTGCACCCACAAGCAAGTGCAAAGGAGCCCTCCCTGAATGCTGCTGTTGGGACACAACACCTGCAGATGCCAGCCTGG